GTCTGTGCGGTGTTTAGTTATCGGAGCATTCTTTGAAAGTCGTGAATAGGGCCACCGAGTACCTAAAGCCGTGATATTCCCCCACAAAAACTTCTTTTAAATAACCGGGGATAGGTACATGAGCAGAGTAAATGCTATTACGAACGCCTATCACAATGCTGAGCGAATAGGAAAATCCATAGATGGAGAATTGTGCCGCGTTACGGGTGCTCGGGCGCAGCCAATCCACCGTTACCCCAGCGGTGACCTTGACCCGCATCGTCTGTCTCGGCTCCAAAGCCAAACCGGCGTGGAATTGGGAGCGTTCGAGCACTCATGGTCCAGCGCAATTCTCCACCTAAATCCATTCCTGATACACATTTGCTTGCTCATAGTCATGTAACCCCGGTAAATTCACCCAACTTTCATATTGGTCGCTCCATAGACAGATGACCACAGAGATCAACTTAAAAGGCCATTGTTGCATTCATTTAGTGGAGATTGATTGTGGCCGTGACAGGCCACAAGTCGCGTGACATCATACGTGTAACGACCAATGACGTCGGCCTGCAAAACCCAATGGAAGCGGCTAGCAGCGTGCAACAAAACAGGGCGCTGCTTTCTAAATGTCTGTCGTGCGCCATAAATGAATATATTCTTTGTAGCCTGGCAACTCAGTATCTTTTTTTAACTATTGTACTAGTATTTAATAATTTCATAATTTTATAATTGTGCTTACGCTTTATGTTGATATTAGTGATAAATCCTTAGATAAAGTAAATCGATGTGATATTTAATAGAAAAATAGCAAACTAACGCACCATTCATTCGAAAGCTGGGGAACTTACTAAAAAGAACTACTAAAATTCCTGAGGAACCAAAGGATCAAATGGGGATTAAATAGATGCCTGCTATTCCGTCGTGAAAACGGCCACTGTGACCCCCTGCAGTGACCTGACCTCTGTGACCTGACCTGGTATCAGTGACCTCAAATAGCAAAATATGTGTTTGAAGAACATTTCCCCATCGATGATTTTCAATGAAATGCATTTTACTCGATTTTACAACGCATTTCTTGAAATGCCTGTAAACGGTGAAAATTCGACCTTTGACCTGACCTGTGACGTCATCGGTTTGAACTAGGTCAATAAAATTGGGTTACAAGGTAGTTCCCTGATAGGGCTATCCAACACCGTTTGCCGCTTGTCGCTAGGTTGCGTGGTTCTCGAGATCTTAGGGGGGGGGCCCCAACAAATGGCGTTGCTCGGCAGAGCCCAACGGGGCGCGGGTTAACCCTCGCCCGCACATGGGGGGGGGGGGGGTTGCGACCCCCCCAGGCAGTCTTTCTGCTCTGCACTCAACATTTCTAGAGCTAGAAGGCTGATTTTTCGTATAGCTGCTCGTCTATCCTTTCTTGATGTCCACTGAAAATTTCAAGTTTCTGTGATTTTTGGTTTCGGAGATATGACCTTGTTTTTCAGGTCATGTCATGACCCAAATGGCCAATTCTCAACATCTTGCGTTTGCCATGGGCCTTGTGAGCTTTTGACACCCTGATTTCGGCCTTTTTTGCCAGTCTTACCTCCCACCTATCATGGAACATGTTGTTCGACGATGTAAAGGGGTCAAGGTCAGGGTCAAGGTCAACCTAGGTCATCTAAGATAATTGCGTTTTAGGCAAGCTGAGTTTACTTTTTGTGAAGTTTTTTTTTACTGCATTTTTGGTAAAAGCTTCTCAGATCATGATTTCATGTGATATGGATCCAAAAACAATCGGTGCACACATCAGTATACACACAGACACACACAGACATACAAACACATATAAGGTGTTAACTGCGTACAGATTGATGTGCTGGAGAGCTGTTTTGACACTGATCACAGAGAAGTGGTCGGACACTTTGTGACACCTTACTCTCGCCCTGTACTAGTGTCACGTCGAACGGCTTACAATTATAAGGAAGCCGATTTCAACGGACTGCGCCGTTCACTCTCACTTATTCACTGGGGCATGTTAGATGATCGTCCTGTCAACAGCGCTGTCGAAATGTTTTACTCTCTGCTTGAAAGTGCTATAGCCGATCACGTACCATCAGTGACTATCAATCGCAAATGCCCACCGTGGTTTGACCGTGCTGTTCGGGCGGCGCTCCGGCTGAAGGAGGCGGCTCACAAACGGATGCGCCGCAACCCGAGCACAGATGCTACCGCTGACTTCGCCGAGAAACGTAGGATATTTAAAAACCTGGCCTGTGCGAAGTACTACGATTATCTCGGAAAGTTAGCAGATGATCTAAAAACGAACCCGAAACGCTTTTGGACTTTCCTGAAGAGCACAGGCAAAAAGTCAGGTTCAATTCCTTGTCTCAAGGACGACGAAGGAGCGATCATCAATGATGACAGTGAAAAGGCGATGCTTCTGAACCGGGCTTTCGCAACAAAATTTGTAGTGCCTACTTTAAACACGCTCCCTGCCGCACCAGTATACACTCTAGACACCTTGCCACGTTTTACGGTTTCAGAAGGGACAGTGTCAGCAATTTTAAAGGCACTTGACCAAAACAAGGCATGCGGGCCTGACAATATCAGCGCAAAAATCATCCTAGAATGTGCAGACCAGCTGACCGTCCCACTTACAAAAATATTCAACAACTCTTTGGACTCCGGTGTTTTTCCAGAACTCTGGAAAGAGGCAAATATCATTCCTTTATTCAAAAAAGGAGACAAAAAGAATCCCATGAACTACCGGTCGATTAGTCTCATCTCTCTCTTTGGAAAAGTTTTTGAAAAAGTAGTATATGATCAACTTTTCCGACATGTGTCTTCGGCTCTATGTTCAGAACAACATGGTTTTGTTCCTCGGAGATCGTGCACCTCAAACTTAGCGGTGTATCTGTGCTCGGCGTGGGAAGCTATGCAGGAGGGACTTCAGACGGACGCCATTTATACAGACTTTTCGGCAGCGTTCCAAAGTGTCAACCATCGGCTTTTGATTCACAAACTCAATCAATCATACCACCTAAAACAGTCAGCGCTCAAATGGTTTGCCTCATATCTCTCCGGAAGGCGCCAGAGAGTTGTGGTGAACGGCAAAACGTCAGATTGGATCTCTGTCACTTCCGGCGTGCCGGAAGGGTCACTTTTGGCTCCTTTGGCATTCGCTCTTTACATTAACGACCTTCCGGACAACCTGACCTCGAACTGTCTATTGTACGCTGACGACCTCAAAGTATATCGTAAAATCAAAGACTCATCTGACGCGCGGCTCCTGCAGGACGACCTGTGTCGCCTTCAGGAGTGGTGCGTCACATGGGTCTTAACTCTAAATCCGTCTAAATGCAAGGCCTTCACCACCACTCTTCGGCGCCAGCCGATTCAAGTGAAATATAGCATCGGAGGCACCAGTCTCGAGTCCGTCAAGAGCATTCGTGATCTCGGCATTGTTCTGGACTCAAAATTGACCTTTTCGGACCATATAAACCATATTGCTGCCCGAGCCAACCGGTCTCTCGGGCTTCTCATTCGCTCATTTCAAACCGGATCTAAAAAAGCCAAATTCAATACGAAATCTCTGTTGGCTGCGTACTTCGCAAACGTACGTTCTGTCCTTGAGTTCGGAACGGTCATTTGGGCAGGCGCAGCCACTTCCCACACAGTTCGCGTCGATCGGATTCAGCACAAGTTTCTCCTCTGGTTAAACCACCACTCCAACAATCCTTGCCCATCACTTACCTATCCAGATTTATCCAAGCATTTCCGTGTCCCGTTCCTTTCCTCTCGAAGAGCCCAACACGACCTCCTGTTCCTAAAGGGTCTGTTCTCCGAGAAACTGAACTCTGAGATACTCTTATCCCGATTCCCCTTACGCGTGCCTATCCGACCGACGCGCACTGCAGCACTGTTTGCTGAGAGTCGCGCCCGAATCAGCACGGTCCAGAACGGGTTGGTCTGTCGTGTCGCGAGAGAGACAAACTCATTCCTCGCTCATTCCAAAGACGACTTTTTCACGACCAGCTTTTTTGTGTACAAAGCTCATGTTATCAAATACGTTGCGAACTTACCACCACCTCCGGGCTACTAGTCACTGTTGGTAGGTGATTCTTATTGATTTTATATTTTTTTATGATTTTAAATATGTCTATTTTTAATGTTTTCTTATATTTTTCATTTCACTTTATACATTTTTACGTGTTTTTAAAGTACCTATACATCGTTTATCTCTGTGTTCATATTTACTGTTTGTTCAGCTATTCTGGTGTATCTTGTATCATGATTTCTTTCCCACCTTACATGGGATTTTAAAACTTATGCTCAGTGGTCGTTCACACATTTTTTTCTTCATATTTTCACTTCATTGCCTATTTCATTATATTGTTCATTGTTTTCTATTTTAGTTACATATGTATCTGCGTTTTTATCCCGGCGTGTGTATGCTGCCTGTGTGTGTGCCATATTTATTGTTTTTAGTCTTGTGACTCCGTCTTTTAGTGGGTCAAGTGCCTGTTGACGGTCTGTTGAATAATAAATAATAATAAAAAATAATAAATAATTGACCTTGACCTAACTTGACCTGAAATGACCTCAGCAGCAAAATTCTGGTCGGATAGTGTGACAAAGAGGTTCTAGCTGGCTTGGCACCAGAAAACAGCATCGTCATCGGTATTTGATAAGCAGCGCACTTGATATCCAACGGTGACCCAAAACAGCAACATTTTTTAGTTTGAACTGACCTGGAAGGTCAATGACTGACCTGAGAAGGTAAAACTGGGTATCATTGGATTCGTCTCTTCCCAAAGAATCTTTTTGGTCTTTACTGCTAAGCTCTATCTCCAACAGGAACGAAATGGCGCGGGGGGGTGGCAACCACCCCCCCCCCCCATGTGCGTTCTAGGATGGGAAAATGGCATGTGCGGGCGAGGGTTAAGAACTCCACAAGTGAGCGACCATGTGTCGCCACCTTCTAAAGTATTGGCAGTGCACATTTGATTTGCATTTGATAAGCCGGCGTATTTCTGTTCCAGGATCACTCGCACAAGTCGTACCGGCCTCTCTGCGTTCTCACCTTTCGCTGGAACTACTTCTTCCACCAGCTCAGCCCTATGGGCTACCATCTCGTCAACGTTATTCTTCATGGTGTCGTATGCTTCCTCTACTTCAGGTCCGTTTACATACAGTTTGACTTCGGCAAACGAGCGCCGAGCTTACCGAGTTTGGTAAGCTCATTGAACGGGTTAAATGAGCTTACCGAATACTATTATAGACATAACGTAGAATGCAATGAACCTTGGTATTGAACGGGAGAGATCGTTTGCTAAGTTGTTAGATGTGCATAATAATATTTTCCATTTCATGTTTGCCAGTTTCTTCGGGTACTTAAATTTTTAGACGACCGCTTTTGGCTAATTCTCAGTAATAAATTAACATTTTCAATGATGATACTCTTTTGTATATGAAACTAACAGCTTTCATTTCTTTCGTCACAGGCTGTGCAATCTGTTCGTATCGAAGAAGTGCAGCTTTTTGGCTGCCATGATGTTTGCTGTCCATCCCGTCCATACTGAGGCGGTAAGTGGGAACTATGTAGCTGGGGTGTGTTTTAGCATACAATTTCACCTATATGTGGGGCAAGGGTGACAAGATTTTAAATCTATTACAGTACCTACACAGTGAAAAACGGCCCTGTAGGTATACTGATAGCGCGCCATGTTACGTATCGCCTCGCTCGATTTTGCTGACCGAATAAAGACGAAAATAGGTTAGCAGGGCACTTATAATAGCTGCATATAGGCGCCAATGGTGTGATAATGAAAATTTGGGATCAAACATTATAGTATGAGTTTATCCACTTTCAATGAGTTTAGGTATCCATCTTCAAGGAAGACAGTAGCAGTGCATTCTACCTACGGTTCGTCCATGACTAAGCCGTGATGAGTTTTCAGAGCAGGATGTATTTCAGACTCCAAGTTGAGTGAAGAAAGAACGAGAGCCGGGCCTCCGACTCATTCTAAAACCCATAACTTCCGCCATTTAATCTCCTTCCCACATTATTGGCTAATGCCAGTATAGTACACGTGCTGAAAGTTATTCCGAGAGAGATTATGCTGGAAGCTAATCAGTTTGAATAAATGAATATAAGTAGGCAATTTACTGAAGTGTTGACCCTATGGCTAAGCTTTCAGATGCCAGTGAATGGGCTGACTTTCTCAACAGCGACGTAGTTTCTGTGGGGCCTGACAACGTTTTGTTGGCTTACAACGCGTTGCAATGCTGAGTACCTACATACAATAAGTGGGGATGTCAAGTTTTATGTCCCAAGCCTAGCGATATCGACCCGTCCTTGAAAATGTTGTGAAGTGCCAGCGTACGGAGCCGTTTTAATGCTTCTTGCTTGTACATGTACATACATACATGTAACAAGTCGCGGATATATGCTTCTAAAAATCGATGCATAAAAATAAGTACCATTTTGCAATATGTTGATCACGAAATCGGTCATCGTTGTTTTCACGTTGACAATCATCTAGTAATTACCAGTTGTTGATATCTATTTCAATATGAGCACAAAACTACTGTATTTCGTATATGAACCTATGTAACTACACACAGAAAAATATTAACACCGTTAGCGGTGTAATTGCACAGTACATATCTGAGCACTTGAGGAAAGTTAATTTAGTCCCTTCCCCGCTTACATTACTCGCGCTTCTAAATGAACACCAGGAAGAAGGTAATAGAACACTGTTAGGAGGGTTGGGTGTTTTGCTACATGTAGTAAAACACCCAACCCTCCTAACAGTGTTCTCTTACCTAGGTGTTCAATTGGAAGCGCGAGTAATTTAAGCGGGGAAGGGACTAAATTAACTTTCCTCAAGTGCTCAGATATGTACTGTGCAATTACACCGCTAACGGTGTCAATATTTTTCTGTGTGTAGGTATACGATCAACCGTTGTGATAGGTTGAAATATATGTAATGAATGAACTCTACAGCTTGCATAATGTCTTTCCCCGCTGTTGTTACGGAAAAACGTGTCCCTAATTGTTCTGGTTTTGTTCGTTTCGTTGTCATATAGGGTAACTGTGGGGAAAACGCACCCCTGGGTTAAACGCCTCCCCTAAAAAAATCGTATTTCTTATCGACAGATAGGTGTTTTATCCTGTCTTTCAGAACAGTCAGCTGCTTGTTTACGTAGGTCTCTATTTCCGGTTCTGAGTCTTGAGGAGCAGCGTGGGTAGGTGCTGATGTTGGTTTTGGATGTTGTTTTTGTTGTTTTTACAGAAGATTCCTAACATTTTGATGCCCTCTTTATATCACAAACCTTGCTATTGTGCACATCACTCAAAACTGCGTTTTATTGTCATTCTGTTGAATATATTATGCTGCGGCGTAGTGGCGCGTTTTTTGTCAACATTTTGTTGACCGGAAATGGAGTGGATGGGGCAAGACGCCTACTCGATGCATGGGGCAAGACGCCCCCAGTTTTCTGAAAGGGGGGCGTTTTGCACGGTGGTGAGAGTGCAGGGTAGCGCCCGGTAGGTCGGGGCCGAAAAGGCCTCTCCCTGTCCTTTTTTGCTGATATATCCTAAACGACTGCAGATATCGTCACCAAACTTTCAGGACTCCTCCGGGCATCCATTTTACACATTGCAACAAAATTTTATTCCAAAGGCTATGATAGGTTGACCACAAATGACGTCAGAATGACGTCAAGTTCTGCCATGTTCATCATTTTCTGTTGATAGATGGGGTGGGGGCGCTTTGCACATGGGTGTGGGCGTATTACCCAGGGTATGGGGCAAAACGCCCTTTTGCAAGGGTATGCGAAAACCTTTTTTGGGGGTTAAATACCACACGCAGGTGTCTTTTCTTGGTCTCAAAACGTAGTAAAAAGAATGAGCTACATGATGGTGCCCAAAGGTTTAAGTAATCTGTGTTGGATTGAGTGTCAGAAGGTTTCGCGCTTAAGGGGGGCGTTTTTGACCTATTCACCCTATGACAACGAAACGAAAGTTGAACGAATTCCAGATATGGAATTGGTTCAACTATTTTTCATTTCCAAATGACACACACAGAAAAATATTCACACCGTTAGCGGTGTAATTGCACAGTACATATCTGAGCACTTGAGGAAAGTTAATTTAGTCCCTTCCCCGCTTAAATTACTCGCGCTTCTAAATGAACACCAGGAAGAAGGTAATAGAACACTGTTAGGAGGGTTGGGTGTTTTGCTACATGTAGTAAAACACCCAAACCTCCTAACAGTGTTCTATTACCTTCTTCCTGGTGTTCATTTAGAAGCGCGAGTAATTTAAGCGGGGAAGGGACTAAATTAACTTTCCTCAAGTGCTCAGATATGTACTGTGCAATTACACCGCTAACGGTGTCAATATTTTTCTGTGTGCATGAACAGTTTCCGTGTAATACCTACACCTCCCAGGTGGCCTCCGTTCGGTGGGGGCTCCCCGTCAGCCCACCCCAGCTCTGTTGTCAAAACGATGAAATCATACGCCACATGGGACCTTGTTTCATTTATGGTAATTTACCGGTGGTGGCTTTTACTGGAATAACATGTCCGTCGGGCGGTGAGGGGCGGTGCTGGGGCGGCGGGGGACTGTGGCGCCCCTCGGTGTCTGATGGACGGCCAGGGATGTGGCGTGACACCCCGCTGTCTTTCCGTTACACGGATGAATGCTGGCCGGCGCACGGGGACGGGGAGAGGATTGGTGCCGTGTAACTGACGCTTGCTGCCAGGCACGTAGCCCATATTTTGCTCAGGGAGGGGCTACAGGTCGCTGCCTAGTGTCGTACCCCCTCCAAAAAGGAAAACTCTTCGGATTTGGGCCACTATTTTTGGGGGTGTGGTGCAGCCGTTTTTATTTATTTTTTATTTTTTTTTATTTCATTTTATTTCATTTTTCGCCTTCAGGGAGGGGGGCATGACCCCATGCCCCCCCCGTGGCCACGTCCCTGCTTCCTGCCGCGTCTGGCAAGAGTTATGCTATAAATTTAATAGCCCTAGCCTGGCATATGCACCTGGTTAATTGTTGCCAGCCATTTTACCCGTCGCTGTTACGTATGCCTGTATTGCATTATAAACCGATTGAGACCCTATGCTGGTGCTGACCTAGCAATACAATGCACCTTAAGCTACATTTAATAGGGGAGAGTGGTGCAGGAGGCCCCCCCTTAAGCTCAGTTGCTATTCTTAGACAACTGATAATATTTAAGAGCTAACGTGTGCATGCGCTGTGAGCATGCATCATTTTCCCATACATATTTGCATTCAAAATGAATCTAGGGGGTACACAAACCGTAAACTTTAACATTTTGGAAAAAGTTGCAAAAGGGCCTCTTACACTATGGGTATGGTAAGACGCCCCCCCCCCTCGGGCGTTTTACAAGTCAAGTCGACTTGTAAAAGACGCTTTGCGAACACAGCTGCAAGGCCTTTTATTTCGAAAAGCTAAGCAAATACGGTGTTATCGAAACCGATAACACTTCCAAAGCGCTCGAACAATGCGAAAACTAGCACAACCAAACGCTGATGACCAACGAAAATTGTACCTATTACCTCTAAGAAAGGAAACAGAAAAAAGAAACAAAAACAAACTCCTTGAAAAAGAATGTCACGCCTGCCACAGGTGCAAGCGTTTTAGCATCGGGGGCGTTTTTTTATCGGGGGGCGTTTTATCGTCCTCGAAGGGAGGGCCTCTTAAAAAAATGCAGTGTTTTAACGTCACAATATTTATGGTTTATGAGACATTTGCAGCGCACCAGAACATGGTCTATTCTGAAGCTAACATGTGACAATTTCGATGAGATAAGATTGCATTCGATAGCCATTGTTTTTTTCAGATATATAAGGGTGATAAAGATGCATATATCTAGCAAGTAAAGGGGCAAAAACAGAAACAGGCTTACCAAAAGTCGCTGCGACGCACCTGATACCTCAGGTTTCGTGAGTTGTTGTTTCAAGAGGGCTTCTGCTTTACAAGAACATTAAAAAATAAATAACATCATTGGTTTGGTAAAAAAAGCGATGGGGCCTCTTACCGACCCTGGGCGTCTTACACGGATCTCCCCTATCGTTTCTCCCGCAGGTGACAGGAGTGGTGGGCCGAGCAGAGCTGCTCTCAGCGCTCTTCTTCACCTCTGCATTCCTGGCCTACACTAGGTCCGTCCGAACGAGAACAACGACAGGTAAGCCATAGCGTGCCTTGCGGCAAGGGAATTATAGAAATAATTTGCCCATGAAGAATGGTTAACTACATTCTGTAAGCTCATATGAACATAATTCGTTGCTCGAGACATGTTGAAATGTTTTCTTGTTAAAAAAAAAAACAACCACATGAAAAGTACTTTTGGTTCTAACCAATAATACTGCCATGATAACTTACTAAATTATTTAAAAATGGTTATCAGTAATTACAAACCAAGGAAATCCATTCCACACTGCATTCGAGGTTCCTTTATCGCATGCCATCATATCTGAATACAATCTTGGCCTTGGGGCTTAACGCACAGTTACATTCTTTTGAGCTAATACCGTAAAAGCTTTCCTGGATAGAACGATGTTTTTCAATCTGATGAGGCTCACTTGAATCCACTTTTCCAGTGTCGAACTCACACAGCGTGACAGGATATGCCAATTGGTAAAATTTATGGCAGATAGATTACGGTAAAACTCGTAACTCGACGACGGGCCACCACTAGTGATGGATTTGTGAGCGCACTTCACGAAAACACTGTTTCGAACAGCTCTAATTTATTTGATGACTTCCAAACGGTCGTTAATGCCGCCTTAATTCACAATTGAAGTGAACTAGCCTCGGGCGTTAGCATTCAAATATTGAATGATAAAAGGAGGAATAGCCATACTCATAAAATACTTCTTTTCATGGCAGGATCGTAAACAAGGCCTATTGACCCTGAAAAGCAAATGGACTGAAAAAAGGTAAAATGCAATGTCATACACACGGCTCATACAGACTAACCCAATTACAAGAAGAGGTCGTTTTATGCTACCAATTCAAGGAGGGTTGATTCGCTGAGCTGTAGCTCTCAGTTTTCATCACGTACCTATCCCCGTTGTTTTAGTTAGTGAGCCAGGGGCTGTTGTGCAAGGAGCTCTGAAGCTCGGCACGGTGCCGAGCTAGTTATTTAGAAACGCCGCCATAAAATACCGACTGCTCTGTGGCATTACCGGCCGTCGAAACCCTGCGGAGACTTAATGAGTTCCTGTTAAGTCACCATTATTCCGTTTATTGATAATTTGAGCTTTGACGATGTCATAAGTCTCTTTTAACGTTCACCGATTGAGACAGGTAGAGACCAATCAAGACGTAAGCGGCCGACGGGTTCAGCATGACAGGCACGTGTAGGACGACGTTTGATGAACGGACTGGGGGCAGTTGGCATGTGAAGGAAATGAGCCGTGACTGATGGCCCATCGGGTGGTGAATTCAGTCATTTACTGGAATGATTGCTGCTTGCTAGGGATGCGTCTTCCAAATAAATTACGATTTTATTACCTATTGCGCTTACGGTATTGAAGTAAAAGTTCGCCAAAAAGCTTCAGATTCCCAAGGACGTTACAAAGCTTTCGCTCTCATTGTCCTTTGGCCGAAACATTCAGTTTTTTTTTTTTTGCTCTGTGTAGCGTTTTACTTGGATTTATTAGAGCACTTGAATAGTGAACTGGTGACACCTGAGACTTTTCCTCAATCGCAAAATATGCCGAGTATGTTTAAAGACACATATGTACTGAGCGACAAACATCATGTATGTACCGTACATAGTACAAAGTATGCAACCATATGTCATATTGTGTATTTAGATGTCGTTTCACCTTGCGACTTTCCACTGCATATTTTTTGTCTAATTTCTCGCTTCACTTCTTCAAACAAGTCTTTGTTTATCAGATGCGTCAGACTCATTTTTAGCCTGATGCGTTTGAACCAGCCGACCGAAACTAGGCCTTCTAATTCGATTGGCGGAGCCTGGAGGCTATGAGAGGACGGGCTAAGATGCTTACTTAAGTTTGTTATTGTTAAGAGAGCAGCGGAAACCAGCTCATATTTTTCGCTCCCCAAAGAAGGCCGGTAGCAAACAAAGTGATGGATTTGGCCGACAACAATGGTGAGCTCATTCAGTTTGAAGAAAAGCACTCGCTCAGTAATTGTTTGCTCTCGAGCTTATATAAGATTTAACCAAATCCTATCGCTTCCTTTATTTCAATGCAAGAGTTCAAGAAAAATAGCGGATATTTGAGGAAATTGAAGAGTAACATGTTTCGAATCCTGACATAGGTACACATTTTGACTTGATGCTGCAATATCATGATTGCTTACCATACGAATAGATATAGGTAAATAAACATGCATAGTAATAAATATCAATGCTTTATCTTGCGTAGTGCATAGTATACGGATCTGTTTCTGTTCTTTTTCGTGAAAGTAGTTGACCGTTCAGAAGCGTTCCCTCAGATAGTGCTTGTTTTTATCATATCATTTGTAACCGCATTATTGCACATTTTCACAAGATATCGCGCTATCAGCCAGACCCCACATCCAGGAGTCTTCCCCTTATGAACTGCGACACCACCGTCTGAGCAAACAAGCCCATAAAAACGACATTGGAAGCCGCGCAGCCGGATATTGTCATCCGTAGCGCTGGGGTCGCCACTCCTTCATAGGCCGTCAGGCTGAGATGACACTATTTCCGCAGGTTTAGCCCTTTAGCGCGTTAGTGGCTCGTGAGATCCAATCTCCCGACGTGAGGCCATATTCACTCTCTGATTTTCCCGTCATGTTGTTCCTGCTGCCTCTTGTTGATTGTTGCCCCAACTTTGCTTTTATGTGCTCGTTGCACATAATACAACTTAGTTGAGTACATAATATACAAAATCACATTGCAAGTGCCCTTATATTATATGGTTATATGTACACATTCTAGCAGCACAAATATAAGAGGAAAACTTTCAAACCGATGCCGGTTAAATAAAATCATAACACTACTGTTCATAATCCCGTAATTATCACGCTTTTGACTTAGCCTCGATGAGCCAAATGTGATCTATTTTGTCCAACTATTTTGCTTAAATCAGAAAGTCTACATTCACTTTGTTGGCGTATATTTGGTGACTGTCACATTCTGCTCGTTCACAGACTGGCGGTGGATGTTTGTCACTATGGTGTGCGTCACTGCGTCTCTTCTCAGCAAGGAGCAGGGCATCACCATCGTGGGAGTCTGTGTCGCCTATGAGCTGTTTGTTGTGCAGAAGGTGAGTGTCCGTGCTTGTTGGCTAGGACCTATTCAAAATTGAGTCGTAAATTCAAGCGAGCCCTGGGCCTACTGTGTTTAGGTTTACAAGGGCTAGGTGCCTGCTGTGTCATTCATGGTAGGTATGTAAAAAGTCAATGCAAGTTATCGGCCATACCAAATGCACTCTAGCCCACCCCTGACTACAGAACCCGCATCTCGAACTGACACCAGTCCCCCTCTGCCGTCCCTGTCGTGCCGCCAGCTGCGGCGGTCGGAGCTGCGGTACCTACTGAGGTCACTGGTCAGTGGGAAGGCACCTCCTCCCGGCTGGCTAACGGAGTCGGCACCGCGGCTGACCGCACTGACCGTCACGGGACTCAGCCTGTTACTGGCCAGAGTCAGAGTCATGGGTGCCAGACTGCCCGTGTTCAACAGGTAGGAGTTAGCGAAATGCGCATAGCGCGTATAAATGTGTTTTTGGATGTTACTCTTTTACTGTTTTATATTGCTTTATATCTTGTTTGATTATAATGAAAGTACATATTTGGCACGAATAATTCCTGCGTCAAAAATTACACTTTATTTGCATTAGCAATTCAGCGCCTTTGCGTGTGAATGCGAGGCCAAAGATAAATATCGCTCTATGACCGAAATACCTCGGATTGAATTGACGATCGGCTATAACCTGACCCGCATCAGGATTACGGAAACAATCTTGGCAGATTTACGTAAATTCCGAATGGAAGTTATCAGACGCTGGTCTGATACATCAGATGAATCGAAACGACACACCGACGGGAGAGACAAATTGTGATTGGCCGGACCAATAAACAGACTAGCTTACCAATGTAGAGAAGGAGTGATAAAAGATGAGCGGGAACGAGAGGATGAGAGCGAGAGAGAGAGAGAGAGAGAGAGAGAGAGAGAGAGAGAGAGAGAGAGAGAGAGAGAGAGAGAGAGAGAGAGAGAGAGAGAGAGAGAGAGAGAGAGAGAGAGAGAGAGAGAGAGAGAGAGAGAGAGAGAGATAGAGGCACAGAGAACGCAGGTCTCTGATTGCCGAAGGTAAACAATGCACCCCCCTCCCCTGTATCCCGAGAGTGCTGTTCGTCCGTCGTTCGAACGGCTGTTCTCTCTCGCAAAAAAACAGAAGCCGAACGATTGACGGCGGCGGTGGTGGCAGCGGGATTGTGACGGCGGCGGCGGGGAGGGGGAGGGAGAGGGCCGTGTCGCTGCTCTGTGCCCGCGGGAGCGGAAGCTAGGGCTCCCCGGGGCCGTGTTGGACAAGGGGTAATCAACCGGTCACTGATTGGCGTCAGAGTTCGGGTTAGGCGCCGGCTGGGTGTATGTGGGAGGTCCTCAGAAACATCGAACTGCTGGCAGAAGTTTGAAAATTGAATGTGTGTGAGTCGGCACGTTACCGCATTGCTCGTGTAGACTTTCTTATGATTCACTTTCACAGATTCAGCACGAGAATCACGCGCTTTTGTTTAAAATCAGGGATATTGCTCAACATGTAAAACTTATTGTGACGTCACGCCAGCCCATCACACAACTTGCGTAACATTGAAAGAGAATGGCTATTTCCACGTTCACTAAAATCTGACACTCGCTGTCTCCGTCAGGTTCGACAACCCAGCGGCAGCCGCCGGCTGGCCGACGCGCCAGCTGACCCACAGTTACCTAACGGCGGTGAACAGCGGCCTGCTGTTGGCACCTGACCCGCTCTGCTGCGACTGGACCATGGGCACCGTGCCGCTGGTGACATCTATCGGCGACCGGCGCAACTTCAGTCCGCTGGCGGTGGCCGCAGCTCTCTGCCTCCTTCTGCGGCGAGCAGTCGGTGATTACGATCGACACTCGTCTGTCATACTCATGGTGAGTGGGACGGGAGTACCAAAAATACCTAAAAATAATTTGACTTTCCCAATACATGGCCTGCTAACTTTGAACCAATCCATGGCCACGAGGGACCAATCGTTTCCCACCTGTCCCGGAAGGGTCAGGCTCGCAGCGCTGTCCGCCGGGGGTGCCCACTGCGTTATTCATGGCTGGACGAGCTCTCTGACGCCGGCTGTCGGCCCGGTGACGTTACCCAGTTAAAAATGCAGCCCCATTTGCATAGCGGCCGGCGCGGCGAGTCGTCCTTTCATTGGGTGTCACTCGGCGCACCGGCAGTGAGCGGTTAATGGCGACGAGCCGTCAGCCCGCTTTGCAGGGGCTAGGTGCAACCGGTGTACTTCAGGAAATTAACTTAAATGAAGGGCAAATGTTAGTTAACGTGACAAAGGAAAATTAAGAAGCAAGCACACAAGATAGACACTAAAGAAAGTGAAGTGATAACTGAATACATAACTCAGTGCTAGAACGGATAAGCAGGCAAGCAGTCAAATTGAACTACACAATACACATAGAATCTTCAATATCCGTCAAAGGAAGCTCCCAGTAAACAACATCGTGACAACATTCAGCACGCTTACCTAATGCAATATTTGTCCAAGTAGAAGGTGCGACGTGAATTTGCGTCCAACAGGGCTGCTATATTGAACTAGCAACCGTCTGCATTTTTAATCAGCTCGCTAAGCCACTTTGCACGAATGCCACTTTCTGCAAGGGTGTGTGGCAGACGCCATCAAGCCCAACAAGGTGTTCGCTTCCATGTCCCGACTTTGCTCGCTCAAGTTGTATCGACCGGATCCGCTTCTTTGTGGCTTCTATTGTAAACATAAAAGGCACTGTACGCTTGTCGTGTACGAGGTTGATGCCGTGCATCTGTCGTGAATCATACCTACTACTTGGTGACTGGTGTACACATTATCGATAGAAGCACTTCTCCGGGACACGCTGCGAAATATCAACCGACTGGCATGTTTATGTGGTGCGAGCCATTTTGTATTTGCCTCAATATCACGTCCAATACGACCCGCAGTAGGTGTTTGTCGAACCAAATAGCCGCTCCGAATGGGCAATATGTTGCCTCCCCCTGTGCTCGCAGTAAAAGATTACGGTGTTTTTCACAGCCTTACGCCGGGGCTTATATCAGTGGTCAAGTCTTATCTCGGGCGCTGTAAACATGGGGAGTCAACAACACACCCATAAACGGGCTGACAGATGAGGTCGCTCCCCTCCCCGCCACTGCTGGAGCGGCTGGTGTCCGCTCCGGCGGATCCGAGGGGCGCGGGCGGTTCAGAGTTGCCTCGCTCCCCAATGACTCGCCAGAGGCGGACACCAGTCACTGTGGAGCGGAGCGAGCGGGTCCGTATGTGAGCCTGGCTGTGGTTATATGTGCGTCAAATTTATCTCAAATTTCCCTCGGCTACGCCTCGGACAATAAAACATGTTTCAGTCTTAAGTGTCTTAACCCTCGGGCTACAGTGCCGTCATATCGGGCAATATTTTTTACTGTTGCCCGCTACCCCATACAGTATTGATATATTTAGTAATGTTATGTACGGATGGTCGTTAACCGACAGTGCAACCGTAGTAGCGCCCGACTTTCATGCCTTGTTAACTAAAATGCTGATTGTTTTAATACTAAAATGCTTTTCGGTAATGCAGTGTATGATAAGCGTGTTAATTTTCTTGCCTTACCTTGCTTACTCACCAATAATGCTTTCAGAGGAACATTACCCCACTCAGCTTTTCCTACATCGCAATCATGTCACACATCACGACAGCTAATAATCACATCCGACTACCTCTATGAGGAAGTGATCCATCAGTTCCTACCTGTAATCGACATAGGCGCAATCATTTATGTCAGTGTGAGGAACCATTACCTACGCCCGGGAAACGACTGCTATGTTGACAATCGTGCGCCGATGCGCAATGTGTGTACCAGTGACTGACGAGCACGGTGCACTTCCGCGAATTTGACCTTTGCAGCGCACATGAAATGTGCAGCTAAACGAATACCAAGTATATGAAATATTGCCTTTTGCTGTTGTGCTAATTTAGGGGAAGGTCACTTACATTTTTTAACCTTCACTCTACGTGAATGGAAGACTGAAGTGATTTAAATAAGGATAACTCAAGTTTAAATAAGAAAACTGCGGCTTTAACAACTGAGCGGTTAAGTTACGAACACACAAGCTTGCTAAAAATTCTTTTGAAACGTTCAAATGTCGATTGAATTTTTCTTTTTGCTTTATTTTTCTCTTACTTTCATAGATGAAGCGATGATAGCAGTGCACCTGCGTATCTAAAGGTGTTTGCCGTTCCATCTCACTCGAGATCCGGAGGCAGCTGCAGCACCCATTTAAACTGAGCGCAGAAAACTGTCACCGCTGCAGACCGTCGCCACTCAGTTTTTAATGGTGTTGACGTGGAAATATTCCAGTCCTAACGAAATTCATCGGAAAGCTTTAAAGCTTGTAAGGGTAACGTGTGTACCTTTTTGCTAAAAAATATTTCTTGGAAAAAGTCCCCTTTCATAAAACCATACATGACGCTCATCTTACTGCTGTTCGCTTTGTTTATGTGGTTATTTGTGGCCGCATGAGTTGTATTTATATTTACACATATGCTCTAATATCTCGTATTTTTGTGTCGGTTTCAGAAGCCTCTTGGCACTGGGTAGCCTGTTTTTGCGGGTATGTTGATACCACAGTAGTCTGCTCCTTACATTATCCCATCCAGCACCCTATCAGGCGTCTCACGTAGTGTGGGGTACAGTCCCCCATCTGCCTGCTCGCTGGATACCGCCACAGAGAACAGGTCTATTTTCCGGACCACAACACACGCGGCGCGGCGGGATAGTGGTTATCGGAGGTCCGGCAGCCGCCGCTTCCCCCGGCACTGGTGGAGAGTGGACCCGGATGGGTGGGGCACAGAGATCGGGAAAACGGCAGTCAATACTCATTTCCAGCCCTCCGCATCCACTTGGTTCAGAGGATCGAAAACCAACAGTGCACAATCACATATCTTCCAGAGAAAGATGATGACAAGCTTGGAGTCACTTTTGCCTGGATCTTTTGTTTTTCTATTCACTAATAAACCGAAAAAATGACATGTAGTGAAACCTGTGCGGCTGATCATTCCAACAGATCCAAGAAAATTATGAAATTCCGGCGATCTTACGCCGGACAGCGGCAGAGACGAGACGCCGCCTGGCGAGCGGTGGCGTGTCGTGCGGCACAGCCTACCTTCCAGGCGTTCGGATGCTGCGCTGCGGGACAGCCTACCTTTCAGGCGCTCTGACGGCCGCCAGCCGCCAGGGCACCACGGTATCAACCGACCACCAGATCCTGTTGGCTGCTATGCTACATGTGTCATATTTAATTCGACAGCAAAATGGTGGGTTTTGCGAAAAATTGAGCGAAAAGAAGGCATGACCTATGCTTTTATCGAAATTCAGACTTGATTCCCGTATTTATCAGTCCCGGAAAAAGAAACGGAATTTTCAAGACTGAGGAGACGAGCGACGAGACTGAATCATGGCATGCATTGAATCGCGACCCGCAGAGTTTAAAACCATCTGCCGTCAGCTTTCCCCCGCCCGTCTGTCCTTGCTTCCATCTGTCTGTCTGTACGTGTATGCCTGTCTATGCCTATGGTCGTCCCTTCGTCCGTCCGTCCGTCCGTCCGTCCGTCCGTCCGTCTGTCTGTCTGTCTGTCTGTCTGCTTGTGTGCTGCCTCACCCAACTCCCAGCTATAAACTCCTGCAGTGACTGTAATTGGTCGTTTATTGGCCAGTCGATGGCGGCATTACGGCTATGTGAAGTCTCCCCAGGGTGCCAGAGATCTCCGAGCGACTGTGAAATCACCGAGCCGTTCGAGAAATGCTTCGATTTTCTCCTCTGATTGGAGAACTGATGTAAATTGGTGGTGTTCCTTGATGAAACATTGCATGTTGCTTCTAATCGGCAATGATGTTGATGACTCGATTGCCAATGAATTGGTAAATGAAGAGAAATGTTGGTGCGCTGGTTGATACGGTTAAATACACGGAAAACCTATAAAAAACAATGATTTAAATGCATGAAAGATTTATTTATATTGCAGGGAAAACGTTATTTCTCCACTAATCGCATGACAATTATTAATCGGATGTTTCGGCAGCAATTTAGGACAAGTCGCGGTGGTGGCAGCTGCGGCCTCGGCTCCCAAGCTGTTTTGATCCATCATACTCCAGCGCAGTCTGTACGACGCTTTCTTATGTCACTGCTCATTTGTAAAAACACGCTATACTGTTTCAGGGCTTGTCGCTGCTGGTGATTCCGTTCCTGCCGGCCTCCAACCTGCTCTTCCCGGTGGGGTTCGTCGTGGCCGAACGGGTGCTCTACATACCCTCCATGGGATTCTGCCTACTCGTGGCCGCCGGATTCCACAAAATGACTCGATACAGGTCAGTAAACATGTACCCGAAGAATGAAGACGTAAAATGATGACTGGAAATATTAATCGAACTGATGGAAACAGAGAACCGAACACTTCACTTTTTTGCCAAGTTTCTCGAGACTTGAATATTGACCTCTGACTCGCCCCGCCCCCCAGACGGTATTCCGCCCTCCTCCGCGTCTGTATCTGTCTGCTGCTGGTGTGCCACGGCCTCAAGACGTACCGGAGGAACCAGGACTGGCGGGACGAGCTCTCCCTGTTCACCGCCGGACTGCGCGTCAACAGGAACAACGCCAAGCTGTACAACAACGTGGGCCACGTGCTCGAGAACCGGTCCCAGCTGCAGGAGGCCCTGGCGTTCTTCCAGCAGGCAGCCAGGTGAGCGATACGAGAGGAGCTGATAACACCGGCGCCGAGGGAACACAAATTGTGCGTTTTGTTTCGAGGAGCTGAATGATATCCATGACATGAGTATCTGAAAGCGGTGTAGCAATATCGAAAGGAGCAAGGTGGCTAAGGAGTTTAACCATCGAATATTAATTTTCTGCATTGTTTTTCAATCAAAATGAGGCACGAGAAAATTGGTAATTTCCTTGTTCTTTCAAACAAACAATTAAAAAGGAAATTGAATGCAGCATTAGCTCTAACATGCAAACTGCCAAGTACAAACTACCAACTGTCTACACTAAAATTCAAAGGACTGTTATTTCGCAGTGTTGCTTCTTGAAATGCCTTCCGCTGGGTGAACAGCATCACAACACTTTGGAAGCTTCTAGTGCATTTGCTCATTTCTTAGTCATGTCCGTCGAGTTTCCGGCCTCCGGGTCAAAGCTAATAGTGTTGCCGAGCCTCTCATGGCGTGAAAGCCGAAGTTTATATTATTTCAATCATGATGCTTTGATGTGTCAAGCAACTCTACCTAGATTCTCTCACAATGTCACTGACTATTTGCCAACTCACGGAAGCTTTGGCCTTTGAAACACGTAAACTAATCTAAATAGTAAGAACATCAAAACAAATCAACGTTTTAAATTGTAATAAATTATCCGAGCATACGAAGAAATGTCTTTAACACTTGAGAGCCATCATGATAACTTAGGGGAAAGTGGGGTAAGACGGTCAGGGTAGGTAAGACGGGCACCCCTTCTGCAGACCAAACCAATAGCGCTACGAGCAAGAAAAGTTAGGACCAGAATTGCCTTTCCCACTACACACCACCATTCAAGTCTGGTGAATTTGTGTTCAGTCGATAATCTTTTATTTTGATTTCTTTAAAACACTCATTTCATTGAAAACATCCATAATGTATTGTGCAAGCTTTTGTGTACAGCACTATAGAGTTAAAAACTCGCAATCACTTGTGGTACACTCATATGCCAACAGTGTTCATTTACGGCGGATTTGCTTTGTCTGCATCAAATTGTCCACAGCGAAAAATCGTGCTGAACTTCTGACATTGAGTTTGGGGTAAGACGGGCAACTATGAACCCAATGGGTCTGTAATGGTGAAAATATTTTTGTTGCTGTAGGAAAAAAGAAGCATTTCTAATAAGAATATGTTCGATTCCGATACTCACAGACATGTTAGCAATATTCCTTCGGCACAGTTTATTCTCGAATAATGAATGTGAAAAACGGTTCTACATGGCTTCTGAACTAGGGCCTATATAGGAGCATACGCCTTCTGCACGAATCTCGTATACTGCCATTTCCGAAGCACTTGAGACCAACGAGCGACTGTATAAATGCGGCTAATCTCGGGCATTTGTTGCGAGCTGCGCTGATCGGTGAAAGAAGCTGGCCGTCTTGCCCTACCCATGTGACCGTCTTACCCCATGGGGTGGGGTAAGACGGGTTTTTGCAAGGTTTTGCAAAAATAGCTGCAGTTTATTTGTTGAATCAGGTCTAAGTCTCATCTTCTGGCAAATGAAAGTAAAATGTCTGAAAAAGGTTTTCACCCAGTTTCCCGTTTCTATGATGTTTCTAACCGGCCGAAAAATGGCTCCAAAGTTAAGGTGCCCGTCTTACCCCACTTTCCCCTATGATAAAAGAGATGTCCCATGTAGCTAAAAGTATTTTTCACCGAGCATGCGACGAAAGCAGTTACTGTCCATAACACAGATTACCGGACCAGAAAGTTACTATCTGAAATAAATGAACATTGTGACGATAGAAGCAATGCAGTGCCCATTTTAAACGAAAAGTAACTGATAACGATGTAAATGGAGGCCGGCGCGACTCTCGACATGTGTGACTGACACTATTTGTTTGCAGGGTACAACCAGATGATATAGGAGCACACATCAACATTGGGAGAGCGTTCAACAGCCTCAAGATGTATCCAGAAGCCGAACATGCTTACCTCAAGGTAAGAACTCATTGTGAGCCTGGGTGGATTGTGAACTTCGTAGCATTTGCTGTAGGAGACATGCATGCGTGATTTATGATGGAAGTTGGCTCCGGCTCCATTATTTAGAGATGCAAGTAACTAATGGTATAAGGCGTAGGCATATGTAATAGCTCACGACAGCTCTTTCCAGCTTGGAGTGCATTTGATGCTTTCCCCAAGTTGCACATAAATACTAATACAAGGAATTGAATATAGACATTGCATTTGATGGATTCTTGACGGGAATTCAAGTCCGGCATGGGGCATAGCTAGTGTTGTTCAAATCAGGCGAAATGTGCTAAAGGCATCAACTGCTTGTAGCCATAGCTTCGTGCCTTTGAGAACGCCATCGTCTTGGCTGAGCGTTTCCCAGAACGTATCACTCATAGCGGCAACTTCTAACTTTGAGCAGCTATTTTCTGAACCACTAACTCGGTACCGCGAATCACTCACGGTGTTTTGGGCAGCAGATTGACAGCGGCGCCGCTCGGCCTGCCGGAGCGAGCCGAACTGATTTTCAATTGAGCAGGCCGCGCGGACCGGTGAATTCTGTCACCGCTTAGCGTGCGGACCGACTACCAAACAGACGTGCTTTGTGTTCCGACATTGCCGCCCCTGCAGTCTCAACTCATGCATTTAACAGAGCAGAAATGCGAATGGCGAGACGGTGTCTCAGCCAGAGTTAGCCGAGCAAGGGACTTTACAGAATGCGTGAACTTTAGACAGTAGAATCTGAACATTCCGCAAGGACTGAATGCAATTAAGTAGTTATATTGCTTTTCTTTGAAGTCAGAGTTTGGAACATCAAGCTAGGAATGTATTGCATGTCCCGGTTGTGTACCTTTCTGGCGGTAGCGTTGCGAAATGGGAGGAAATGTTATCACCCAGAACTCATTATTCGACACCTGTTGCAATATGCGTTGCGAAACGAACCAGTTGCTCCACCCTGGCCGTCCAACGGAGCTCCTTCCGACCCTCCGGAGGTGAGCGGTGGGTACACGGGCCATTAATCACCGCCGGTCCGACGCAGAGGTCATCACTCAGACGGCGCCGGCACGTGCCGTCAGGAGCGCGGCACAAGTTAGAGACGGCCCAGCCGATCCCTGCCGCCGCAGCAGCCCACTCCGGATTGATAAACAGTCAATCACGGTCCATGTTGACAAACCGAAATAATGAGATCAACTGCTGAAAGGGCTTCAGTTGGCGGAGACAGTTTCACATGAGACGGCAAACTTCACTGGTATGTTGGAAATACCAGATGCCATCGCCTGAGCCCACTGTGCTCTCCTAACCTCACCGAACTCATTCCATAGGCGCGGTCCCTGCTGCCGCGGCGCCGGCCCGGAGCGGGGACGCACCAGTCGAGGGTGCCGCCCCACCACCTGACCGTACTGTTCAGCCTGGCCAACCTGGTGTCACGCGACCCGGCGAGGCTGGAGGAGGCTGACGCCTTCTACCGCGAGGCCATCAGCATGCGGGCCGACTACACCCAGGCCTACATAAACCGTGGCGACGTGCTGGTGCGTCTGAACCGGACCCGAGAGGCGCAGCGCACCTACGAGACGGCGCTCTTCTACGACAACGATAACCCGGACATCTACTATAACGTGAGTATCGTAACACTCAGTGTAACACAGCCCAGGCATCTACTATGACGTGAGTAGCTACCAGCAGATAGTCCTTCACGGATACCAATACGACAATCTGCACACTCGCTGAAACACAAGTCACAGGATGCGGGATAACCGTGCATTTACCTTGCCGTGAGAAAACGAGTTAGGGATAAGTCGAACAGGAAATGCAAGTTTGGTAGGACGCAAACTGACTCGTGAATCAACTGTAACCTGAGTGCCGGAATACAAATATGTTCCTCGGAGTTGGTCCATCCGTATGTCCCAACATTTAAATACCGTGCGTTTGACCTGAGCTCTCCCTAAGCCGAATGTTGTGCGCCCCTGACCTGACCTGACCCCCCCTCCCCCACCTCCCAGCTGGGTATCGTGTACCTGGAGCAGGGCCGCCTGGCGCAGGCGCTGGCCCACCTGGACCGGGCGCTGGAGCTGGCCCCCGACCACCAGCAGGCGCTGCTCAACTCGGCCGCCATAATCCAGGAGTCGGGCGCGGCGCGACTACGGCCGACGGCACGGCTGCGTCTCCGGCGGCTGCTGCAGCTCACCCCGGCCGTGGTGGGAGCAGACAGAGTCCACTTCAACCTGGGCATGCTGGCCATGGACGAGCGCGACCTGCCCGCCGCCGAGACGCACTTCAGGAAGGTATGGACGGGACGGGAAGAGCAGGGACCAGGAGCACGACTTTTGCCGTAACTATTCGAGCTGTGCAGGAACTGAGCTCGTGCGCGAATGATAGGCTCGCCGAAATGACAGCTTGACGCTCGATAACGACAAATAATTATACACGATAAGCTATGCTTCATAGTTCATACTCCAGAGCGTCGAACTGAAATCGGTGTTCCGATGCAACAAAAGCGGAAATCGAACGGTCGATCCGTTCTCATCGCATCCAATCACGGCGTCTTCGCTCGCAGGCTGTGGAGCTCAGGCCCGACTTCGACAGCGCCCTGTTCAACCTGGCGCTACTGCTGAGTGACTCGGGCCGGCCTCTGGAGGCGGCGCCGTTCCTCCATCAGCTGATCAAGTACCAGCCCGATCACATCAAGGGACTCATCCTGCTCGGAGACATCTACGTCAGCGGAACGAAGGACCTGGACGCCGCAGAGCGAGTGAGTGGTGACGATTTCTTCTCGAAACGAAATGCTGCTATGCTGCTTAACGGTGCACCCTGCACCATGAACACTTCGAATCACGCAACTGTACTGAACTAGAATCATTGTACATTTTATTTACGTTCATAAATTCGTTTTACGATCGTATCACACTTGCCATAGGTACTCCATCACTTGCCAAGCCTCAGCTTTGTCTGTTTTCAGGGCTTTCAGATCAAGCCTAAATCTGTCATTACCACAATCACAAGCGATTCAGCGCTCTGACACCCCAATGCCCTTTCTCCGCAGTGTTACGAGCACATTTTGCGTCTGGACCCTGACCACGTGCAGGGTCTGCACAACCTGTGTGTGGTGTACGTGGAGCGATCAGAGCTGGCCAGGGCCGAGCAGTGCCTGCTGCGAGCGGTTCACTTAGCCCCTCACGAGGAGTACATCCAGAGACACCTGCGGATCGTGCGGGAGCAGCGGCGGACAGCGGACTCCCAGGAGGCGCTGCCGCGCCCCGGTGGCGCCGGCGCTACCGCCCCGACCGGCCGGGCCGCCGGCAGCTGAGGGTCAGTTCAGCTGGATTTTGTGTACAATGCCGCTACCAACTTTAAAAATAAACGGTCCGGTGGATCAATCAGGGTGTCATTGCAATGTATAAGTATCATTACTCGACTTGTGGGTGGGAGTCTTTGTTCACAAAACCAGAAGTAATGCCTAACAATTACGTAAAAAGTGCACAGCTGAACACACTAAGGAAAGACCAATAATGAAGCGAAGATACAATTCAAATGAATTTAACACAAGTTCTTTCATTTTCAGGGTTTGGGTTTACTTACCCCACAAATGGAAATAGCCTCTTTCGACAGGAATCTCAGGAACGCCTACATACAAGAGCTAATTCAACTAGTCGAAGCAAGTCATTAAAACTGAGACTCGGCACTGCATTTCTGGACGACTGTGAAACAGCCATCAGTAGTGCCAACCTTCGAACGCCTATCAGTGAACGTATGCCAGTATTGGGCAACACCCCGTCTCACCCGACGACCAAGTCATATCGGCGCTCCCTAACGGCCGGCGCTATCATAAATAATTAAACTTCCACTTTGTAAGATGACCAATGAACATGCTTTTCGTGCGAGACAGGTGGTGCGCTTTTTGAATTGTGCATTGTATCGTGCGGTGTCTTCAACGGAGCGGTGTATCACGAATGACTTGCATTGGTGTTAATACTGTTAATTCGTTCCAATGGCTGCTATGTGTATTGTTAGGTACGCGACAAGTGACAACGAAGTATGAGAGAAACGCAACGTTATTCAAGGCCATCAGTAGTTCAGGGGATGGTTGTTTACCTTTATGTATTGAGTTGAACTCGAAAAAGGACGTCTCATCGTTATGAAGAGTTTGTCATTGAACTGAACTGTTACCAATCACAAGTGTCCGACGTAAAGGCACTCAGCTCTCACTGCAGCAGTGCAAATATCCTTCCCGTTTGAGGGGACTGGCACCTTCTTCAAGGCTCGATCTCAAAGAGGCGAATGGCCGACGTATATGTAAAAGCGTTATTCAGTTTTGACTCTGAGTCGGAAGGGTTGCTGAAACAAAGGTCGTGCCGTGCGAGCGACAATGTCTGTGATACATTTAATATACATAATGCGCTGTAAAGTGTTCAGATATCGAAAGTCTTTGGTTGGAATAATATCCTAGAGGTTCAGCCCACACACCTCCTACCTAGATGGAAGGCTGTTATTTGTTCAAGTCCCGCTCTGACAAACAGTCAATCCCAAAGTAGATCCGTCTTATTGCAGTTTTTAGGGATTGGAAGTTTTTATATTCACATTACCTCATCTCGCACGCACATACTATTCGAAATATCTGAGGAACGTTCAATCGAAGGTCTTGACACGGCAAGAATAATCAACGAACGGATAAAAAGTCCAGGCGTAATGGTAGTCTAGCTATATCTGTATAAGCCACGATCGCATGTCGCGGTCACGCAGGTTTGTTTACATTTCCCCGCCCGGCAGCCGAGCCCCCTGCCCTGACGGTTCACCGGCCTCCTGACTACCAACGCGGTATCGGCGCCTGTCACCGCCAAGGTCGCGAGAGGGGCGGGCCGTGGGCGCCGGGTAACCTTGAACGTCGGGCCGCCGAGACATGTGTGTTCAGCCGGGCAGGACCGGATCGGACCGGACCGCGGCCCAGTCGCTCCCTGTGCCGCGCCAGGAGAGTTGTGTGGAGAGTGATTGCCGACAACGACCGACCAGAGTTGACATAAGCCCTCGCAAGAAACGAGCAAACGCCTGCAAACACCTTTGTGAGTTGTGTGGCGACTGGTTTGTACGTGACTGCACTGCGCTGTGAGTTCGCACCGCTGCAGCGATGGCGTCGGGCCGCGGCCGCGTGCTATCGATGCTGCAGGCCATGGAGCGTGTGTCGTGCCGCTGTCCGGCACACGGCTCCGGAGGGGCGGTGCGGCACACGACCGCTACGCCGCCCTCCACCGACTACGCTTTCGAGATGGCGTGCTCCAACATCCGCTATGGACCCGGCGTCACCCAGGAGGTCGGCATGGACTTCAACAACATGGGCGCCAAGAAGGTGTGCGTCATGACCGACTCCAACCTGGTGAAACTCTCGCCTGTGAAGGCGACCCTCGAGTCGCTGCACAAGCACGGGGTTAACTTCGAGCTGTATGATGGGGTGCGGGTCGAACCGACCAATGAGAGTTTCGAGGACGCCATCCGGTTCGCCCGGAGTCAGCCGTTCGACGCTTTCCTGGCGGTCGGAGGAGGCAGTGTCATGGACACGGCCAAGGCGGCGAACCTGTACCTCTGTAACCCCGAGGCGGAGTTCCTCGACTACGTGAACCCGCCGATCGGAAAGGGCAAGCCGATCCTGGGGAAGGTGAAGCCGCTGATCGCCGTTCCGACCACGTCCGGAACTGGATCCGAGACAACAGGAGTGGCCATCTTCGACTACCTGCCACTGCACGCCAAGACGGGCATCGCCAACCGCGAGCTGCGCCCCACGCTCGGCCTCGTCGACCCGCTGCACGCGCTGGCCATGCCCGAACGGGTGGCCTGCTACAGCGGCTTCGACGTGCTCTGCCACGCGCTGGAGTCGTACACGGCCATCCCGTACAACCAGCGCTCGCCGCGGCCGGACAACCCGATCCACCGGCCGGCCTACCAGGGCAGTAACCCCATCTCGGACGTGTGGGCCGAGGCAACGCTGCGCATCATGGCCAAGTACTTCCGCCGCTCCGTGTACGACGCCGGCGACGTCGAGGCGCGCAGCCAGATCCACATGGCCAGCGCGTTCGCCGGCATCGGCTTCGGCAACGCGGGCGTGCACCTGTGCCACGGCATGAGCTACCCGATCGCGGGCATGGTGCGGAGCCACCAGCCGGCCGACTACTCGGCGCAGCACGCCATCATCCCGCACGGCCTGTCCGTGGTGATGACGTCTCCCGCCGTGTTCCGGTTCACCGCGCCCCTGTGTCCGGAGCGACACCTGCGCGCCGCCGAGCTGCTCGGAGCCGACGTCACCGGCAAGAGCGCCGCGCAGGCCGGCGAGGTCCTGGCCGAGGTGCTGCTCGACTTCATGCAGTTCATGAAGGTGGAGAACGGCCTGTCGGCGCTGGGCTATAAGTCTGAGGACATCCCGGCGCTGGTGCGCGGCACCGTGCCGCAGCACAGGGTCACCAAACTGGCGCCCAGGCCCCAGTCCGAGGACGACCTGGCCAAGATGTTCGAGGATTCACTCACCGTTTACTGATGGCCCCCATGGTGGCAAGTCAGTAGCATGGCCAGATATGTGGTGCAATAAACGTGGGCGCTGCGTAATGCGCGGTGCATTCATGGTCCAGGGATCACGTGTTCATTCCGTGACCTTCTAACAATAATATAGCCCAAAAATATCATTCTGCGTTTTACCTGAGATGACGTGAATAGCTACTCCTGCCGCAAGCACCTTTATGCTGCCACAAAAAAGGGAACTTGTATAAATTCGTTAACATAGTTCGCTCGTTTTAGCTGGCGGCCAAAAACTGTTTTCCCAGCAATTGCCTTATCTGCGACTGTAGTTGTAATTATCTCAAGAGCCACTTACGATTGTATAACCACCGAGATCCGAAAGGTCCTGATAGTGACCGGGACCAGTGAAATGCCAGAGTGGAGGGAGACCGATGTATCAGGATAAAAGCGCGTCATTAACCCGCGCCCCGTAGGGGGGGGGGCCGAAACGGCCCCTCCCTGTCCTTTTCGGTCAATATCTCCTAAACGGCTGGAGATATCGCCACCAAACTTTCAGGACCCCTCCGGGCATCAATTTTACACATTGTGACCAAAAATTTTTCCAGAGGCTATGATAGGTTGGCCACAAATGACGTCAGAGTGACGTCATGTTCTGTCATTTTCGACCGAAAAAAGACCTTCGCGAGAAGACCTGTCAGGACTACAGCTTTGAAGATACAGAAAAATGATCAAGACATAAAAGGTGTAGAATTGACAGGGCTACAAAACTGCTATCTCGAATTTTTGAAATTTTTGAGTTTTGACCCCCAAAAATCAAAAAAACATTTTTTTTGGATATATTCGCCAAAAAATCCAAAAAGTTTTTTGAGTTTCGAAAAAACCGGAATATATGTGATAGTGCCTACCGTCTTCTATCTACATACCAAATTTCAGATCGATACCTCGTTTTTTGGCCAAGTTATAGCGAAAAAACTGTTCAAAAATGATGACGTCAAATTTTCAAACTCAATTTTTGGCAATTCTAGAACTCGTAGAGCAAAACGAAGACCACCATTAGACTCCCCGTGACGAGCTGCATCGAATCGATACCCATTTTATGCAAAAATATCAACTTTGAAATTTGACCTAATTTGACCTGACCTTGACCTGACCTTCACCAAAACGTGACCTAGGCTGGCCCCAAAGGCTGCCTAACCAACATAATCGCATTTGTCATGTAAAATGGACCATAAAACATGTATCACACGACGCATTCATATTGTGACCCCCGGTGACCTGACCTCGCTGTGACCTGACCTGGTATCAGTGACCTCAGATAGCAAAGTATGTGTTTGACGAACAATGTACCATCGATGGTTTTCAATAAATTACCAATTTACTCGCTTTCACAGCACATTTCTTGAATTGCCTGTGAACGGTGGAAATCTGACCTTTGACCTGACCTGTGACGTCATCAGTTTGACCTAGGTCAATGAAATTTGGTCCCAAGGTAGTTCCCGGGTGGGGCTATCGAACGCCGTTTGAATTTTGAAAATCGGCCGGTAACTTTCCGAGATCTTAGGGGGGGCCGAAACGGCCCCCCCCCCCCCTACGGGTGGTAGGGTCCGCCGGTAGCCCTACGGGGCGCGGGTTAATGCATTATGTAACCTTCGCTGAGATTTAGGGAGCTGTAATACAGCTGGTGATGAGTGATTATTCAAAATGCACGCAAATTGATAGCCATTAGCACAAAGCGCAATTATATTTCAATGCTAATAAAGCAGGCAATCACAGTTGATACATTGTACCATATATGACTTGCAAATGTCAGAATCGGTTAGATCACACTGACATCATGCAACATCCTACGTTGAACCCAAAAGTGCCGCATTTCTCCTGGTTTTCCAAAACCCCAGTGAATTACGGGCAAGTTTGGATAACATATTTCGTTGGAAGATATCGCTATTCTACTTAGACAAAAAAAAAAAAAAAAAAAACGAGAAGCGCTAGATAACTGGCAGAAAAGTACCCTTGCCCATATTCAAAGTTACTGACCATAGAGACAGCTACAGCGCTCTCAAAACTAAAAGCGTCAATCAGCGGTGCCATTTTTGCAGCACTCCTTCGGCGAAGACGGTCACAGCGTCAGCAAATCTATAGCTTGAAGGTTAGCATCCAAGATTCCACAACCTTATAATAAAATCACCATGGAACACCCAAAAGCTTTGTACGATATACGAACCATATGATGGGCATGCAGGACAGCATCATGTTTAATATGCACAAGACGATGTTTAAAATCCTCTGCGGGATTAAAACTCAAAAGCAACTTACGAAGAAAACGCATGGGTAATTAATTTGACACATTTTTTCTGTACTAGTAGTACCTGCTATAGGTAATGTATCGTATAGGTATAGTCGGATTCAGCTATTTGAGGCAATCTATTACGACTTCTTGATAAAAATAACTTCTTACTTTACGAACCACTTGGTGGAAGCGCCCGCACTCTTTGCGGCGTCTACTCAGCCTTCTTGTCCTTGTTCAGCTTCCAGATGAAGTAGTTGAGGACGGCGGCGAACCCGGTCCAGCACAGGTAGGGCATCATCAGGTAGGAGGCCGTCGAGTTGATGGGCTTGAAGGTGACTACGCACGCGCCCACACACGGTAGCATGGCCATGATCTCCAGGAACGCCTGCGGACAGAAACAGCGACAAAGTGAAATGGACAGAAACAGCCACATATTCAAACATGCAGAATGTGATGGATGCCCTCAGCACCTTACGGTACAGAGAAAACGGTGATGTCATTCACATACTTACGATACCCACAAACGCGCTGTTCGGCGGCCGGCTAGTGCTCTTGCCGGCGCACATATACGTGCTCGTTGCCCCGGCAACGGGCTATTGACCAATGAGAAGCGCGCTCCGGGGGGCACAGGTATATGAAAAATCGCAGTGACATTACACTTTCCACGCCTCTTATTGGTCAATAGCCCGTTGCCGGGGCAACAAGCACATATGTGAGCGCCGGCAGAGTGCTAGCCGGCCGCCGAACAGGGCCCAGAGGACGACAACGACAAAATCGCGTTCAACACTCGGACTTGGCACAAAACCAAGACATGAACACTTGGAACGCAGCGTAATAAAAATACACGGCTTACCAGCCCGCGTCGATGAGCCCCAAAGAATATCGGAGTCCATGCCCAGTTGAGAGCTAGCTGTGTTGCGTAAAGGGTCAGCGGCAGCTTGGCATCTCCTGGAAAACAAACTCAATCACTGACAGGCACTGGCAGACCTAGCTGGGGTGGGCAATAAGGAGGGAAGGCTGGAGGGAAAAAAGTAAGCATTTGTGGTTGAGTGTTAAAACACTAAAAAACTATTTTTCATGAGCTTGCACACATAAGCCGATAGGCCATAGCCAAACTCACCCTCAAAGCCACCTCCGTCCTTCCACACCAGGTAGGATGCATATCCCATGCCAGTGTACAGGGCAGTCCAGGTCGGACCAAACACCCAGTTGGGCGGATTGAAAGAGGGCTTCTTTAAACCCTGAAATAAAGAAGCACCGAAACTGTTACAACACATGTAAAAACTCCCCACTAAGCACTTCAGCATAACTAATAAGTAACAATTACAAAATGAAAATATCGGACTGCCACAAGTAAATCTGCCGTACCCTCTTCAGAGTTCAGACAACAACCACTTCATGCAAGTCAATCTCACCTTGTACCAGGTGGGAACATTTTTGGACGTTATCAACGCCCCAGCGATTCCTCCTATATGAGGCAGCCCAGTGGCCAGCAGCCATTCGTAACCCATGGTGATTCTGTCCTCTGGGGATTCACACAAATAACCATTTCAATGAGCATCATGAAACATGTGAAAAGTTATTACAAGGGTGAAAAACACTCAGCGGAAAAACTGATTGTAAATTAAGATCGAAAAATCAACCCTATATCAATATCAATATTTGCTAAGTGTAACAAGGCTTTAACAATATCAATATACCTAACTCAGCAGTTCAGCACCCACTCTGCAACTACACACACGCTAGCCACGCCCAAGAGGGCCACGCCTGCTTCACGAGATCACCTCACGAGCTACGAGCCACGAACCCTGCACGAACCCCCCATGCAGTGGCAAGAATCGGGATAAGGAGGCCAGCCGCCAGCGCGCCCAGCGGGCATTGGGATTTGGGCGACATTGCTGTTTGCAGCTATTGTGCTTTGAATTTTAATGCTATTATCTACCATTTGCACTCAAATTTCGAAAAGCAATGCTGCTAATGTTATGAGGTGGTGGGTTATCAGGAGTATGAAAAATAACCTCTTGCTCATATCTGAAGGTGGTGGGTTGTGTAAGAATACCGTGGTTTGTAACTCACTTGTATGTGATAATAAAAAAATAAACCAACAAACTCAAACTGTAATTAAAGTTGCAGATTGGATAAGTACCTACCTATTGCTCATGTTTCACAGTTTCACATTGACTTATCAATGTTGGACTTTTGTGGTTGATTCACTTCTTCACCAGGGTGTTGTTCGGTCACAGTTTCTTATCAGCAGGCTGCAAGCATGCTGCGATTCCGTGGCTCCTCATCGGTCAAATTCACGTAGTCTCTTCATTTCATCAATGAGAGGCCAAGAAGCACCAGAAATACCTTCCTTATATGGTAAAAATCGACAGCATGCTGACAAAAACAGTGACTGAACAGAGCTGTGGCTTAGGGCCTGTTCCAGCGCCTCCAGAAGAAATTCTTGACTGGAGGCTCTACCAGAGGTTTTACTGGAGGCGCTGGAACGCAATCTGGAGATTTCTGGAGATTGGCGTCATAGATACCAAAAGAATGACGATTGTTCTCTCTTGAAACGCAAAATTTGTTTTCAATTTTAGTTAAAAAGATAAATAAAATTATAGCAATGTAATTTTCTTTACATTCAAGTTGTAAAATAATCAGTCAAATGTCCTTTGTTTACATTCGTGATTGTCACATGTGCACCATAATTGTAGACCAGAGCCTCCAGAGAAATTTGGACCTCTCAACTCTCTGGAGGCTACTGGAGGTTTCTGGAGCTTTGGCGAGAGCTTTCTGGAGCTTTCTGGAGGCGCTGGAACGCTCTCTGGAGGATTCTAGAGCTTTCTGGAGCTTTCTGGAGGTTTCTGGAGGCGCTGGAACAGGCCCTTAGACCAAATTTTTATGAAGAACCTCAGGTTGATATTTGAGAATGTAAGGTACTGCCTGCCAAGTTTTGGGGCTGCAGCAGATGGTGGGTGTAAACTTGAGGGTCATCTTGGCAGTGCACATAGCAATAGTGGCAGTGGCAGATCGAGATAGATTTGAGTTTTGACCACCCACCTTTCCTAAAAGTTCACTAATGGAAATTGTTGCACATTGAAATTTTTGGAAAACATCTTATTATCAAACTCAGGGTATGACTTGCTGGCATTGGTCAGGCCCTACATAATATAAGGATGTGGAACATTTACTTTGGAATTTGTCCTGAGTTACATTTATTTTGGAATTTGTCTTGAGTTTTCTTATAATCCCAATCAAGCTATATATTCTGGCCAAAACTGTGAAGTAGTTGTTGTCAGTTGCTTCAAGTGCCCTCTGGTAACCCATATCCTGTAAATTGAACTGGTGCAACTGTCAACTGGTGACACAGGTGCTTTATGCTGTATGTGTTTATTTTATATCTGGTGACTGATTTTTCATCCTATTACATGGTACAATTTTATGTGTCTGTTATCATAAGGGTAATGTTTGAAGAGGTAGGGAAATGCTTGAAGCTAATGCTTCTAGCTAGCTATAAGGGTAATAGCTTTGCACCATTTACTGATCATCATTTGCACAATGCAACACAGTTGTGGTGAATAAGTTTCAACCTGTCATCCACGCCTGCTTTTTATATTATGCATCTCTGCCACTTCCTTATCTCATTTCTTCACAATCATGTTATCATCTTACCTTACTATCATCTTTTCTCACCAGGTGATGGAGGAGGATGGCATTGTCTGGGACTCAGAACTGAATGCTGCATTCTGGGATGAAGATGCAGCACCACCAATGCCACCATCAAGCTGCCTAGCTGACAGAAGCTCAACGCTGATATCAGAGCATGCTGCCCCAAAGGGCCTCAGCCAAACCAGCAGTGGGGTAAAGCAACTGCCACTAGTCAGCTCAAACCATTCTGATGTTTCTGGCAGTGCCGCGACAAATGTTGTCCCGCAGTCCTCTGGCACACCGGCGGCGGCGACCCGTCCGAGGGACTCCTCTCGGTCCGCGCCGCGCGTGCGCCGCTTCCTGTACCCATCTGCGAGCCAGATCGCCCGCGATACACCCGACAGACGCCGTCGACCGAGACCCGTCATCGCCGCTCGGAGCCCGCAGACGCCGGCAGATCAGCGCCCCGCGGCGGCCGCAGACGCGGCGCTGACTCCCGCGGAGCAGCAGGACGTAGAGGCCTGCCTGGTCACGGCCATGGAAACCCTCGAGGACGACGGCGATACGTTCTTCACGCAGTGTCGAGTCAGGGTGACTCCCGACCGACCTAGTGCGACGACGGTGGCGCGTGGTGAGAAGACAGTGAAGGGTGAAGAGCGAACTCCATCCCTTCCCTTTCGCGAAGTGAATGAGGCTAAAGAGAACATGGACACAGTCTGTGAGCCCATGGAGACCACTGGTCCTATTCAGCTGGCTCCTGACAGCGGCAGGGCAGAATGCTCCGGTCACGTAGGTGTTCATGCCGCGGGACTCGGCTCAGCGACGATAACCTCAAGTCGAGGTACTGTCCCCAGTTTACAGTCAGTGGCGGGACAGTTGAAAACCCCGCATACTGCCTCCCCATCTGTTCAGTCACCAGCAAGCATGATCCGCACCGACCCCAACAACACGAATAACTCGAACCGGCCAGTGACATCGGCACCCGGCAGGACGTCCGCCGGGTGCGCCCTCCCGGCGCTGGGGAGCGAACATCGGACCCCCGCCGGACGGCCACCTGACCGTCATGGACGCGTCCCGCCAGCCAAGCGCTTGTGGTCCGCCGCCGATAACGCTGAGAGTGAAAATGATGAACCCGGCTGCTCCCCGGTCCTGTCCAGTCACAAAAAGAGGCGAAGACGTGAACGCCGTCCAGACGCGGTTCTTGCACCACAATCACCCATGGAAGTGGTTCTGGAAAAGAGCAAGAAAGTAGAATCAATCGGAGCTGTTGGTGCTGACAAGATGAAGAATCCAGGCGTGCTGCCCCCACTAGTTGTGCCAGAGCCAGCATTAGGAGACGATCGTGGAAGTTTCGCCGGTTTCAGCACTGCTTCCGGACGTAAGCTGGCTGTCTCCGATCAGGCGATGAAACGAGCCGTCGCTCTGATGCGAGAGGTTGATGGGCCATCAACTTGCGGCGACTTGTCCGCTCCAGCAGCAGCTTGTCGTGGCATGAATCTCAACAATGACCCTATGAGTTGTGACACAGACTCAAACGCGGACACAGCAGTGCCGGTGGTTGTCTCGAAAGCTGTCTTGGAAAATGCCGAGCACGTGTTTGCTGATCACATTTCTGATCCAGCTATTGAGATAGATGTTTCCATGCGCTGTGAACTGAAGGCTTCAGGTGACAGTGCCACAATTGAAGAAAATGTCATGTCTGGCCATGTAGGCTCTCTCAAGATCGTGACAGAACACCGTAATTCAAATCCTGAGATGCAGGTTCCTTGCGGATTTTCAACAGCTAGTGGGAAGCCTGTCAAAGTATCAGACGCGGCGCTGGAAAAGGCAAAAGCGTTTCTTGACGAAGATGTGAGTCAATCATTGAAGGCACGAAGCGTCACAGAGTCCCAGCCTGTTGTTGGCTTTGCAACGGCAAGTGGGAAGTCGGTAAAAGTTTCAGATGCTGCCCTCAAGAAAGCCAAAGCAATGCTTGATAGTGAGTGTGACGCGACATTGAAGGTGGACAACGTCGCAGAGCCTCAGACGAAGTATCCTGTCGGCTTTGCAACGGCAAGTGGAAAGTCTGTGAATGTTTCAGATGCCGCCCTAAAGAAAGCCAAAGCAATGCTTGACGGCGATTGTGAAGCGATGAACAATGTCGCAGAACCCCAGACGAAGCGGCCTGTTGGCTTTGCAACGGCAAGTGGGAAGTCTGTTGAAGTTTCAGATGCTGCCCTCAAGAAGGCCAAAGCAATGCTTGATAGTGAGTGTGACGCAGCATTAAAGGTAGACAACGCCGCAGATTCTCATTCAGAACGTCCTGTTGGCTTTGCAACGGCAAGTGGGAAGTCGGTAAGAGTTTCAGATGCTGCCCTCAAGAAAGCCAAAGCATTGCTTGATAGTGAGTGTGACGCAACATTGAAGGTGGACAACGTCGCAGAGCCTCAGACGAAGCATCCTGTCGGCTTTGCAACGGCAAGTGGAAAGTCTGTGAAAGTTTCAGATGCTGCCCTCAAGAAAGCCAAAGCAATGCTTGACAGTGAGTATGACGTATCTTTGAAGGTGGACAACGCCGCAGATTCTCATGCAGAACGTCCTGTTGGCTTTGCAACGGCAAGTGGGAAGTCGGTAAGAGTTTCAGATGCTGCCCTCAAGAAAGCGAAGGCAATGCTTGACAGCGATTGTGACGTTTCCTTGAAGATTAACAGCGTCGCAGAGCCTCAGACGAAGCATCCTGTTGGGTTTGCAACGGCAAGTGGGAAGTCGGTAAAAGTTTCAGATTCCGCCCTCAAGAAAGCCAAAGCAATGCTTGATAGTGAATGTGACGCATCTTTGAATGTGCACAACGTCGCAGAGCCTCATGTAGGACGTCCATGTCAGCCAAATGTAGGCTTTGCAACAGCAAGTGGGAAGTCTGTGACTGTATCAGATGCTGCCCTGAAGAGAGCCAAAGCGATTCTTGACAGTGTTGCTAATGATGACGAATCATTGAAGCCAGACAACAACGCAGAATCTCGGTTGGGGAACCCTGATGCTATTGCCGGAACAAGCGGTGGTTCCGTAAAGACGTTACCAAATGTGAGGAACGTCGAGACAATTTGTGATGATGATGAAACGATGCCAAGCGAGAGTGCCTTCCAGGAACATCGGCGGCCTCACGGTGGTTTTTCTACTGCTGGTGGAAGGCCCGTTGAGGTGTCCAAAGTGGCTATGAAAAACGCAAAAGCTGTGCTGGACAGTATCAGCCATGAACCTTACGCCGACCCGTCAAGCGGACTGGCTGTCGATCGTCCTTGTGGGTTCACCACAGCTGCCGGGAATTCCGTCCAGGTATCCGAAGACGCCCTGAGGAAGGCCAAGGCGATGCTGGCAAGTGTGGAGGAAACTATGGAGACCGAAACTGTCGCACAAGACTCCTCCACCACTGGTGAACGACCTGAGCCAGTGACGGATGCTGCGTTGAAAAAGCCTCGAGCAGAACTGAGCAGTAATGGTGGCTTTAAGATACCAAACGTTGATAGATGTGCGCGACCGGGGCTGAAGCGTCGCCGACCAGTCCCGGCCCACTCTTCGGTTGATGGAAAGCACTCCGTAAGCGAAACAACGAGCCATGGGGCAGCCGTCGCACCAGTCGTGACAACTCTTCGGCAACCTAAGGTTCGGTTCCTTTGCCGTGACAATCTTTCACATGATAATGCGGATCTACAGTCGGACGCTTGTGCGTCCAAGACAACGAGTACTGCAACCTCTGCTCCAGTCGCAACAAGCCGTGCTGCTCCTGTTGAAAGCCTGCGTGGTCGTGGAGGAAGCTCACATCGGACATCTCACATCGCAACGAGCCCGGGACCACCAGCGACAGTCGTCTCTTCTGACCACGATCATAGCGATTCGCGGTGTGTCGATGACGACGCCGAGTCGAACACGGTGGGCCTGACTCAGCTGCTGGATGACCGGTTCGAGTTCACCCAGGTGGTGACTGATCGGCAGCGGCTGGCGGAGGAGGAGCGCTCCACCAGCCCGGTGCTGGGCACGCCTAGGCGCGCCGGACGCCGGCGCCGCTCGGCCCAGCCGGCCGTGTTCCGCACCCCGTACAGGAGCGGACCGGCGCCGCACGCACCGGCCAAGGAGTCGCACACACCGGCCGCTCCGCCGCCGCCCGAGCCTCCAGCGGTCATGGCTGCCTCTCCAGCCCCAACTGAGAGCGCCTCTGGAGACGGCAGGCGGGAGGTCCGGGCGGAACAGCGGCGGCGGCAGGCGGAGCGTGTGGCGGCGGGAGCGGACCGGCGGGTCGTCCGATCGGTCGGCAGTCTGATGCAGACTCGACAGGAGGCGGCTGCGGTCGGCACCGGGAGGAAGTCGCTCAGAGAGGCGCTGGGACCGCGGCCCGCCAACCTCACTCGGGACGAGGTGAGTGGCAAGGGCGGAATATCGGCTGGACGTATGTTAAGGCTGATAAAGACGCAACTATTGCATGAGGCGTTTCACTGTCTTGAGAAAGAGTGGTAAAGCTCGTGACAGGAACCCCGGAACTATAGCAGTGTCCATTCTTTGTAAAGGGGTATCTGGAGTCTAGCATGTATCGCGTGAACAATACGGCTATGTAGCGCGCATAACTGCTCGAATGACCTGTACATTTTTCTCTCTTTGTATGAAAGGTACTCACCTTCTAAACAGGCATCAGCCAACTGAATGTGAATCGTTTGTTGTTGCTTTGCGAATTACGTAAACCTGGGTTATGTGAGGCTGCTGTCTTCAAGATCACACTGACCTCTGTCGTCTCTTGCAGCTGCAATCACTGGACGTTCCTGCCGAAGTTCTGGATGTTACTTTCGCCTCCGCGCCCTCGTATCGCTTCAAATGCACCGAGACAATGATGTGAGTCGGTTATCGTCGTAGGCACTGACCTACGTCGAAATCACCAATCAATCTGGCGTTTTATCGGTGTTTTATGTTTATTATTTCTAGTAGTTGTGAATCTTGTGCTCCTAATTTAGCTTTTCAGGCAGTGCACACTCGAGCTATCTATCTAAATATTGTCTATCAAGAACCTAGGTAGCTAGATTATGGTTATAGATATATTCTCGTCTAAGTCTTCGACTCCTCGGATTCCGCTCTTCGAACACCTGCACTCCGTGGCTCTGACCCGTCTGGCACCTGGCCCACTATTCTGACTCCTCTGACCCGCTATTCTGACCCCTCTGACCCGCTATTCTTGACCCCTCCGACCCGCTATTCTGACCCCTCTGACCCACTATTCTGACCCCTCTGACCCGCTATTCTGACCCCTCTGACCCGCTATTCTGACCCCTCTGACCTCTGGCTTTTGACCTTCCTGACCCGCTCTGACCTCTGATCTCAGTGACCTTACTGACCCGTTCTGACCTCTGACCCCTGTGACCCCTCTGACCACCGTTCCGACCCTCCCAGCTCCGCGGACGGGTGTGTGGTGGTGCCGGCCGACGACGATACGGTGGGTGTGGCCGAGCTACGCTCCGCCCTCCTCTCCTCCTGCGGGGTCCAGCCGAGCCTGGTACCTGAGCGATGGGTGGAGAACGCCTTCCGACACGTGGTCTGGAAGCTGGCCGCCTACGAGCGCCAGTTCCCAGATGAGATGGCCGGCAGGTGGGTACGGCTGGGCTGGATGGGTGACGGCCGATGAGCCTGTGTGTGTATGCGGGGAGGGGGGATACTGCTCGTGTTGTTAGCTTTTAGATATGTAATGCTGCACAGCGTACCTAACAGGATGACCACACGATCGCTGAACGATGCTGATGATCCAGCTGTAACATTGTTGTCAGGAACATCTAACGCAGATATCCATTCATCTGCCACCGTCCTCACGTATAATCTCTTCCCGCCATCCCCTCTCCAGGTGTCTGACGGTGGAGGAGGTGATTCGCCAGCTGCGGTACCGCTACGACCGAGAGCTGGACCGATGTCAGAGGCCGGCACTGCGCCGAATTACCGAGGGCGATGACACCGCCGCCAAGACGCTCATACTCTGTGTGGCTGAAGTGAACACGGTAAGAGCACATACAGACATGATGCAACTCAATGCAACTGTATAGTGTATGACGTTGCGTAGTGTGTGCCGTTACTGATCATGAGTATAGGCGTATGTCAGCACACCGGCATGATGCCTTGTTTGTTTACGTTTTCAGACGGCCGAGGGAATCCGCCTGGTGGTGTCGGACGGCTGGTACTGTATCCCCGCCCAGGGAGACTCGGCCCTACAGCGGCTGGTGCGGCTCGGCCGGCTGCGGCCCGGTCTCAAACTGGCGGTGCACGGCGCCGAGCTGACCGGGCAGCAGGAGCCCTGCTCGCCGCTCGAGGTGAGAGACGAGGGGCTGTGAGTATCTTACCGGGCAGCAGGAGCCCTGCTCGTCGCTGGAGGTGAGAACCGAGGGGCTGTGAGTATCCTACGGGACACCAGGACCAGGAGCCCTGCTCGCCGCTCGAGGTGAGAGAAGAGCGGTACAGAGCTCACCGGCCGGGCTGCTGAGAGGGGAGAGTGGAACGGGCGGTCTGTTCGGTACTCGACTTCAGAAAGTTATCCGTCGGCTAGTCGACTGGGGAGGAATGAAAGCTGCTGGTTGTAGCTTATGCTACGGCTGCTTTAGTAGTTGTCTTATAAAAGAACCATTCCGTCCCGTTTCGCAGGTTTCCTCAGAGACGTTTCTGCGGTTTTCAACCAACTCGTGTCGTCGCGCGCGCTGGGACGCGCGGCTCGGTTACCATAGCAACCCGGCGCCGTTCGCCAGCTGTCTGAGCGCCGTGCTGCCAGACGGCGGCTCGGCTGCCAGACTGGACGTCGCTGTGGCACGGGTGTACCCGGTGCTCTACTATGAGAAGGGGGAGAGCGGTGGAGGTAAGCTGAATTGAAAACTGGCTTTTGCTTTTATTGAGAGACTTTTTGACAATCAGCAGTCCGTAAGTTTGTGAAATGGAACATTTAGACACACCTTAATCTTTTATATTCGTCCAGTACCGAATCCACTTCTTTGAGTTCATGGATGAAACTTTTTCTAAAGCTAACTTTTTCTAAAGCTTTCTTTTTCTAAAGCTTTTCTTTGGTCGAAGGTCTACTTGACTCCTTAGCTTCGCAAGTCTTTGTGCTACGATTATCCCTCACCTGCCGTGTCATCATCCCCTCTCCTACATCGCGCATCACCACCCCACCCCCACCTCTCCCCAGTGTTCCGGACGGCGCGCTGTGAGCGGCGGCGCGCTGCCGCGGCCGAGGCGGCCCGTGAGTCCCGCATGGAGCGCCTGTATGCTGCTGTGGAGCGGCAGCTGGGCAGCCAGGAGCGGCCGGCGGGGGCGGGGGTGGTGCGCCGGCCCGTCAGCCGCGCCGCCGTCCGTCAGCTCAGCACCGGACAACAGATATACGAGTGTGTGGCGGCCGCCGCCGATCCTGGCAGCGTCGAGGTGAGGGGACGAGGGGATGGTGGAATGTTGGGAGAGGACAGCTGGGAGATGAGTAGCTGACAGGATTAGTAATTGGTTAGAGGCTCTGGATGACCGTGAGTGAGGCTGAGCAGCAGGTTTTGATGCTAATATGAGTCGCTGCTGTATCCGCTGTCTATCCGCTGATGAAGCTAACTATCTCTGTCGCCCCTGGCCTTGCTGTCCATCCGCTGATGTAGCTGTCTGCCGCCCCTAGGCGTTGCCAGTGCATATCCCCTGCTATAGCTAGGTATTCCTGTCGTCGTTTCCCCTCCCCCCAGGCGCTGTTCTCTATCTGCAGCTGTAGCTAACTATCCCTCAGCTGTCCCAGGCGCTGTTATCTATCTGCTGCTGTAGCTAACGCCCTCTGACGTCCCCAGGCGCTGCTGTAAACCGCTTATATAGCTAACGACCTCCGACATCCCCAGGCGCTGCTGACGGACCATCAGAAGGAGCTGGCGTCCGAGTACCAGCGCCACAGACAGGAGGAGCACCGCGGCAGGGTGGAGGCAGAGTTCCGAGCCCGGCTACAGGAGGAGGCGCAGGCCCTGAGGCCGGCCGCGCCGCTCCTCAAGGTGGGGCGCAGGACTGGTCTGTGGGTGGTGCGATCACACTAGCTCACCGAGTCTGTAATTGGGTAGAACATTGTCCATTGAACATGTGTATGTCGTGTGCTGTTTGCAGCATATGTACGTACATCTACTCTACCATGCTCGCCACATGTTCGCCACAGGTTACTGACGCCCCCTCGGCCCAACCCCACTAGATCCGGCTGGCCGGCAAGAATAACGTGCCCGCCAGTGGCGCCATCCTCACACTCTGGCGGCCGTCGGACGAACTACAGACGTTCCTGGCAGAGGGCAAATCCGTGTCCCTACTGGGGGTGACTGCCAACGGTAAACGGTACGTGTGACGATTAGAGACTAGAAGCGGCGGGCTAGGATGTGCTGTATCGGCACCAGTGAGCTTGTGAAAAACGAAGTCAAGAGTTTTGTAGGTAAGACTAGTGGTTTGAAAACCGAATTATCCCACTATTACATATTTGTAAATATTTGGTATCCGGCGTGGTCTTTTATTTAGTTATACATCTGTTCGCATCGCCACCACCCGGCCGTCGTAACAGCACGACATCCCTCCCACCCGGTAGTATCTGCAGCCTGCATGACATTTTCTCCAACACCGTCCCCACGAAGCACCATGTTATCGTGCTATTCTCTCAGCACCGACATGACACCTCCCTCCACCCAGTTCTAACACCGCTACTCCCCCGCCCCTCAGTAACGGCGTGCTGCAGCTCTCTGCCGGCTCCCAGCTGCGCGTCCAGCCGGGCCCGGCCGGTCTGAGCTGCCCGCCGCGCGTGCTGGCCTCGGCGGTATCGCTGGCCGCCGGCCGGCCTCCGTTCGGCGAGCTGGACGTGGCAGCCCTGGTGGTGCGGGTGACGCCGGGAGCGGCGGACAGCCAGACGGTGCACCTCTGTGACCGCGGGGGCACGCTGCTAGCGGCCGTCTGCTGGCCAGGACTGAAGGTTAGCGGGGCAGGGAGGTGGCCGGGACGGTGGAATAGGTCAGTGGCCGGCCTTCGTTTGAGTGGGGTGTCGTAGGCTATGCTGGTAGCGAGATGGTTGTTTTACTACAGGTATTCGGCCTTGAAGTTTGAGTGGGCCTGTGTAGACCGGCTCTAAAGTACTGTGAAATGCTACCGGGGCTAAACAATACTATGCTATATGCTACTGACTGTTGAAATTGTAGTTATTTACGGTATAACTTAACTTCCCCAGTCTATCTATCATACATCAGTGTATGTCTAGTCAATCATAATATTTAACTCCGGTTAGTTTTTTTTTTCTACCCACCACTCCCGACAGCCGACAGCATAACCTCTCTGTCGCAGTCGCTGGGTCTGGACGAGCTGGTGGTGCCGGGCGCGGTGCTGGCGTTCTCCAACCTCCAGCTGTGCTCCGCCGGCGCCCGGCCGCCGCTCTGCTCCCTGTCTGACCGGGCAGAGGTCAGCCGGCGACCCACGGCGCGGCGCCTGAACGACGAGCTGAGACTGCTGGTCGAGACCATGACGGTGAGACGGGTGATGGTTGGCACCGGTGGGGGAGGGAGGGAGCGATTATATCACACCTGTGTGGGTGAGGGAGGGAACAAGGGTTGCTGATTATTATACACTGGCGAGGAGAGGGGGAGAAGGGCTGACGATGTCACACCAGCTAAGGAGGGACCTGAAGAGATACACTGAATGATTGAGCTGAGAGTGACTGGTGGCTACGATAGCGGGTGAAACCGACGAAATCACACCTTTGGCTTACAACGTTTGGCAGGTGTAATATGATGTAGACCCTACAAAGTCTGCTTTGCAATGGCTTATCAGTCCATCTGCAATTATTCATCGTATGTTATCTGTCTTGGAATTCGATAGAGGAAGCACATCTGCTTGTGAACTCACGATTCATGCGTCATGGAAACTGCAGCGCAGCTGGCCGGACGTAGCTATGCATTTCCGCATCTGCTCAACGATCTATTTCCTGTTCCCGTCGCTAAAACCCCGTACCTCTCCTTTACAGAAGTGCTCTGATTTCGAGGCGTCCGCTGGCGCCGCGCTGGACTCGGCGCTGGCGGCGGCTCCGGGCCGCACCATGTCCCCGGCGGTGGTCGGTCCGTTCCGGTCGCCGGTACCGTACGGGGCGCCCTCCCCCGGAACACCGGGCGGGCCGGGACAGCCGGCCGGCGGCGGCACACCCACCGGCGCAGGTAAAGCCGGGCACGCTGATGTTTTTACATTGGCGATAAAGCTGTTTATCAGTAACGGAATCAAATAAGTGGATAAACTTAACTGGGGTATGCAGCTGCAGCTGTGATTGATTCACGTATTTCCGATGTGACTCATATGACCTTTGCCGGAAATCAGCTGTTTGATGGTGAGATTGTGAATATTTTAAGGAGTTTGGTGTCCTAAATATCCAGCAATTCATTCTGTTTCCACCCTAGCAACTGAACAGTCGCATTTACGGGTTCTTTGTTCACTTCGGGCTAGAACGTAGGCTATGAATTTTTTTTAGTAGGGAGTCATCGTTTTCCACCCGTGGGACGTTGCCGGTTGCCAGCTCTGACCGTCTGCTTCTTTGCTCTGTCTGCTAGCAGGCTAGAGCCTAGAGTCTGACTGAGGCGGTGGTGTCTGACTCCTACTGACTGCTCCTCTGCATGTCAGCAGGCTGGAGTCCCGCCGATGCGGCGTTGTCTGACCGTGTGTTTCTCTCCCCTGTCTGCCCGTAGGCTGGAGTCCCGCCGAGTCTGCGCTGTATGCCGGCGCGGACGGCGACGGCTCGGTCCGACCCGCCCAGCGGCGGCTTCAGGCGCTCACTCGGTACGGCCCTGCGCCGCCCATCAGTCCCCTGGTGTCGCCCGTGCCGGCCGGCCTGCGCCGCCCGTTCCGCAGCCCGCGCCCCACGATCGGCGACCACCGGCCCGGCGCGGCAGTCGGCGGAGCCGGGACGGACGGCGGGACCGCCGCGTCCACCACCGCCGGCGGAGACAGCGGAGCGGCGGCCGAGATAATCCGACTGGCCAAACTGGAGCTGCCCTCGGCGGCCACCGACAGTCCGCCCATCGAGCCCGAGTCCCAGCTGGTCTGATGTGGGATCGACGGGGCTTCGAGCGGCTACATCGTGTACCCCAGTCCCCGCTGGTCTGAGGTGGGATCGACGGGGCTTCGAGCGGCTACATAGTATCCCAGTCCCCGAAGGTCTGGTCGAGCTGAGCCCCTGAGTCCCAGCTGGAACGGAACATGGGCGGGGCCAGTGTAGCCACTGAACAGTTAGACATCCATCTTGGAGTCTGGCAGTGGAAACGGGTAAACGATACCGTTACTGGTCCAGAGAATGACCAGTGTTGATTGTCATACACTCATCACCGAGCTTCCTGAAAGCTGCTGAGTTCTACTCACGCTCCGCGTGCCTTCCAATTTCCATGGTGCAGGGATGTTCTGGAACCTGATGTGTACCCGTTCAGTGCCTTGCCTAGTATGAGCTGTAGATCGGCTGTGAGCCCTCCGCTGTGCGGCGGCGGACGCTAGTCTATTTGTTTCGCCATTATTTGTTGTCCGAGCGCTGTGATATGTCCGCACTGCACGAGTACGAGACCACCGTGATATTAATCGTGCTGATGTTCAGTTGAGTCGGGTAACGCCTCGGATATTTGTCATGGTGCTGCGCTGAAGTGCCGACGGTGGTGTGATGATAGTTGCTTGTTGATCGGAATACAATGCCTTTTGCCATGAACGCGTGCAGTTGTTACGTATTTCCTGCCGAGTGCTACAAATCCGTGACTGAAGGATTGGCCGGCAAAAACCTGTCCAACGCTTATCAACAATTTTTTTTTTATTCCCTTCCCCCATTTGATGTGTCCTCAAGATACCGATCAAACTGAGTTTGAGTAAGGAAGCCGAACAAATGTTTTTATCAATTTGCTAATGTGCGACGTTTTGAGTCCGATGCGTTCCAAATGAAAAAGAACGTGATTTGGATTATGAAATGTTTTGCTTTCAATTAAAACCATTTTGATGGTGCCACGACACACTTCCCCCAGCCTACACCTGATAATGATGATGGTTTCGGCATGACCAAAAAGGAGTCAAAAGGAGTCCTCTGAGAGCCATTTGAGCATTTTGCTGCAATCTGACCCGAAACAGAAGTGAAGTAGAAATGGCCTCTTGTAAACGTATTGCTAGAGGAATGAATGGTCATCGGAAAATCTATGACGTAATAGTCATCAATGCTCTCAACAGTTTGACTAGTCGCAGCATTCAGGAGGTTCATCTGAGTCAAGTGGGGAAAATGTAAAAGTTGGTCCGATGACGTAGTCGATCATTTCAGTTTTGTTTTCTTGAGGGCAGTTGAAGGAGCGCGCCGGAATGGGTGTGTATCAAATGTACCCAAGTACAGTCGGACCCAAGATCCAACGGGACCCAAGATTCATAAGTACCCAGGTGCCTCAGGCTATACGGAAGTACCATAGCGACGTTGGGTCCCAAGGCTCAAGGTTGCCAGAATATGATTGGCTGAGCAGGCAGACCAATCGAACGAGCTGTTAGAAACTACTGTACCTCAGTGCACTCTCTGACAGTGGGCAAGTGCGGTGAAGATTTCGCATACCAAAGTGACCCTTCCGGAGGACCGGCGGCCGGCGCCCACAGTCAGGTAACAATGGGAAGGGTCGGAGGGACGGCCCGCCGCGCCACACGGTGACAGCTGATTCCCGGGACGCTCAAGTGTCGCCTGTCAGACGCGTCGCCTGCCTCCCCCCTCCCGCCCCGCCGAGCCGCACAAAACAGCCGGACCCTGTCGCGAAACGAACCACCCGACCATGCTGTCGCCATCGGCGGCGAACTGAACTGCATGGCTTTCTGAGTCGTGGCGCTGAGCAAGCCTGAATAACCGGTCATGCTTGCGTATTTCATGCTTCAGCCCTGCTGTGAGCCATGTTTTATGATTGCGGATCTTAGCAATTTCTTAGGTAGAGGTGAACCGTGCAAAACGTCCCCTTAAAGGGACCCTCCCACCTTCAAAAAAGTTAATGAATTGGCACGAAAGTGATGTCGCTACTCGCTCGGTTCAGAAAGAGCGAAAACGAATATCTACCAAATTTCATCGAAAAATATTCACCGGTTTTCAAGATATTATACTTTTACTTTTGTTTACTTTTCGGGATCTCCGCTGTTCCTAGCGACTTTATTTGAAAGTGCGGCATTTGTTGCGCGCAAAGCAGCATATACCACCGCGTGCTACCAAATGTTTTAGTAAAAGATTTAAAAATCGTTAGATCTCCGCTGACGTCACAAATTCTAAGGGGCATACCAATGCACTAGCCCCTTAGAATCCGAAAACTGCAAGTTTGAAATTCCATATCTCCGAATTAAAGCATTTGTCGATGTTGTGAGTGCCCAAACCGGTATTTGCAGGCCATGGCCACCAATTTGGCTATCTCAACTCAAAACTAATGTTAAGGTGGGAGTGTCCCTTTAAGAAAGTGTGTCACCGCTAGGCTAGTTATTGGACCATATGCTTATAGGCGTCATCTTTAGACTATTGAACACAATAATATGTAAAGCACTGGAATGCTACATTCCAGCATGAATGAGCTGTTGCAAGACCTTTGAAAACGGGGCGTTTTACATTACGGGTACCGGTAAAACGCCCCAACTTTGGTTGTCACCTGGTTATGAGCACTGGCGGATCCAGACTTGCGTTTTGGGGGGGGCCAACTCCTGCAAGTAACCAAACCTAGGGTACCCCCAAATCCTGTTTTCTCATCGGATTTAGGCCACTTATTTTTTCGTCACAGCCCTGAAACGATATTTTTTTAAAACTAAAAATAAAAAATATAGAAATGGTAGCCCACCCAACCCGAGCCTAAATATTACTTTGAAAACACTTCAAATTGCTTTTGTCGACCAATTAGCCCGCTCCGGGTCGGTGCGTGGCGCAGCCTTCGCGGGCTGGGAGGTGTCGGTTGGACCCCCTGCCGTTCGGCCCCTGATTAAGCTATAGCTCGCGGAAAAAAAACAGGCGTGTTGCCCGTGAGTGACGAGACGAAGCCGATGATACCCGATTTTAAGGTCCTTGGTCATTGGTTGACCTTCCAGGGCGGTGTTTCACGGTCGTGCTGACAGCCGCTGACAGCGCATTCCGCGAGCTAAGGTCAGCCTTCGGTAGTGTTGTGAGTATAGGCTTGTTGATGTCTCCATTGAAACCAAAAGTGCCATCAGCGCTGGCAGCGGCTGGCAGCGTGCCGTGAAACACCGCCCAGGTCAGGTCACAGACCCAAAAGACGGAAAAATCAGGACCTGTCACAACCTCCTAAAGTAAGGCTGTAATACGTTTTTTTTGTGCTGATCACAAATTTCATGTTAGTTTGGATCATAGATAATGTCTTCATGCGTTTAGACCATGTCGGGGCAGGTCAGGTCAGATCAACCAGTAGGGGTACTTATGGGCGTCCGTATAGCAGGTGTCCACTACCACTGGCAGCTACGTAACATGATACGAAGGCATCAAAACTACTTTGTAAATGTTCAAATGGCTGCAAAATGCTAAATTCAAAATCAGCTAAACGAAACTATCCTAGAAGCATGTTAAACTCGGAAAAGTGCACCGAGGTCATCAAAGGTCAATGACCTGACTTGACCGTAAGGTGACATTGGCATCCGCCCTAATGCGTGGGAGCAACATCATATCACATGTTTGAGCGTTTTAAACCACGAAAAGACTATGAAAGCGCGGATAATGTGAGCCGACATACGCCGAATCGCTATTCCGGCCAAACATGGCCTCCAACATGGCCAAACATATGGTGCGTTCGGAGAGGCACATTCCACGTGGAATCCGTTGAATATTCCATGCGCGCGGAATATTTCCGGAGATTAGCCGTTCAGAGAGATACGCCTCCGAACGCGGCACGGGGAATATTCCCGGGGACGGTGAATATTCCATGCTCTCCGAACGCACGGATAGTCTCGAGAAATAGGCCACAAGTCAAAGTTCACTTGGGTCAGGGTCATGAAATTTTCAGACTTTGTCACCATGAGGGTACTAAAGTTTCGTCGCGATCGGCTTCATGATACCTTACACGATAACTTCACACGTCGATCGAGAGTTAAAGCATGGATGAAGGAGAACCAGGGGATGAAGGTTCTTTCATCCATGGTTAAAGTGTGCAATAAGAACTTCTTGGGTGAAGACAAGACCAACACTTCTATCAAGCTCACAGATTTTTAATGATACGGTATTTTCTCTCTACCTACTACGCCCTTCTCACATTCATTTTTCTTAAGTGTTTTTGGGGACAAAAAATATATGTTGTTCCCCTTTCAGGCTTGGGGGCATGACCCCGTGGCCCCCCTGGATCCGCTAGGCCGAAACTAACTAGGTCGTTTTCAAAGGGTCTGATATTTCAGGTCATAGTTTGCAAACGGCCGGTGTTTTCAGGTAGTTTCATATAGCCTGACTGGGCCAGGCCGTTTGCAAACGGACCGAATTTTCATACGGCCTGTAACATATATTCAGATTTCGACATCTGTCGTAGCATCAAATGCTGATGTGGCGCACTCAAAAGCCGGAATTGGTCCTTGGATGCCGTAAGGACCCTTTAAAGAAATAAGTGACCCGATTGACCCTTAGAGATTGGCCTGAGCTGTGACCGAAATAAGTCTTTTACCGTTTCGCAGGAAGGGACAAAAAGGTCCCTCATATGCTTCTTGTACAATTACGAAACAAAACAAGTTTTTTTTTTTCAACGAAAACTCAGTGAGTTTTCCTAAAAAATTTATTGCGCATATTCCGTGAATGAAAAATTGCCGGGTCATGTCAGGTCAGGCTGCCACGGCAAGTTTGTTAACTTGACAGCTCAATCGATATTTATGCAATAAGACCTTCTCGGGTGACGATAAGACATGACGACACTTTATGAAGGAAGCTAGTAAACCCGGTAGTTTCTCCATAGGCGCGGGAACCGGGGGGAGGGGGCAGTGGTGGCAGCTTGCCCCCCCCCCCCCTCCCAACTCTGGGGCCGTGCGGGCGGTGCCCCCACAACTTTCAGACAGAATACCGCTCCTTTTTGCAAATGTTTTCTTTTTTTG